ACATAGACAAGACAGTGATATGTCCAAAACCATGCTTACAAGATAACCAAATCATTTGCTTTGTTTAGAAAATCACAAAAGCGTTGACGCCAGACAATTTGGCAAGGATTAGGAAAGCTGAGGTTTCAAATGATCTCATCATCAGGGTAAACAAACACAAAAACCAATCAATTGCCTTCTACTCGGTCATTTCATCGAACTGGTCGTTTGCATAACCAAAGAAACAAAATTGGAAACAAAAGAAGTCAAGCAGGGGGGAGCAGTAAACGATTTCACCAAAATCGCTCACCATAAGGCCACCATCCAAGACCTCAGACCTCAACAAGGAAGGAAGGAAGAGAAGCTGGGCGCCGGCGAGGCGTTGGGGGGCGGACAGACACAGACCGAGGCTTTGGTGTTAAGTAGAGGAGAGGAGGAGAGAGAGACAGTGGCTTTGAAGGGAAGTGTACCTCGACCTCGTGGGGAGGCACGCAACGCAAGCAGAGGAGGTCGCGCGGCCGCCTGATGGTGATCGGATGCCGGAGGCGCGCGGCGGCACGGACGGGGGAGTTGCTTGCCGCGGCGGGGTTCGGCGCGGCGGTTGGGTGCGGCCCGCGGGGCCCACTGACATACACGTGGGATTGATTATCCGTAGCTACAGTATTTAATCATCGAATGGAATGGATCATCTGTCTATGGCTCTGAGACATCTCTGTGCCCCCACACTGCCTGGCTCTATCTAGGCTTAGGGTGTGTTTAGTCGCGAAAAGAAAATTTTTAGGTGTCACGTTTGACGTTTGACTAAATATCGAAACTCGAAAAGGGTTTTCAGACACGAATGAAAGAACTAATTTCATAACTCACCTAGAAACCACGAGACGAGTTTATTAAGCCTAATTAATCCGTCATTAGTACATATGGGTTAATGACTCAAAAATTTGTCTCGCGATTTCCATACAAACAGTACAATTAGTTTTTTAATTTATATTTAATGCTCCTTTCCAAAGATTCGATGTGATATTTTTGAAAGAAAAAATTGGGAACTAAACGAGGCCCTAATCTATAGCATGATTGGTGTCTAAAATAAAACAAAAATATCTCAACAGAGTAGAGCCTGGATTCAAATGCGATATTTGTCGTGGTCCTTATCGAGCTGGCTGTATTCAACCATAATTGGCCAAAGATTAAAAAAAATTTGAAACTTTTTAACAAAATTTATCTGACTTTCATCGGTTTTTGGCAATAACGTTAACGACGAGAGTTATCAATGGAAACGCTAGGGAGGGATTTCAGCTATCGATCACATTTTGAAATCATAAACAGAGCACACCAATACAAAAGAGGATCGGTTCTTCATGGTTCCTTGCTATCGCAAGGGATGAGGCAGTTGTGCCTCCGTCAAAGTTTGTATTAGTACTTCCTCGCAAAAAAAAAAACTGTATTAGTACTACCAAAGTATAAAAAAAGAAAAAAAAATCCTCTAATCAATTGATCATTTCAACAAGACTATAAAATTACAAGTAGCTCTCTCCTAGGATTTGGTCAGCAGTGTGGCAGTGAAGATTGTCATGTTCATTCTACATAGTTCTAGGTACTAGGTAATAGCGCATGTTCTGGCATACAGAAAGAAATAAAAAAAAAGAGTACAATACTGTTATATTTAGACATTTTATTAAGTTTATTTTACCCCTCAACTATTGCACTTGCATAAAATACCCATTTAACTCTAATATGAAGTACAAACATTGCTGTTATTAATAGGGTAGTTCGGTAATTTACCATACCTTCATGTTTTGTCTATAAAGAAAATGCTAGAATGACGAGGAGTAGTGTGTTTTGTTTTACAATTCCGCGGGGCCGTACCTAATAATCTGAGTCCCCTATACGAATCACAAATTGGTATTTAGAAAATGCCAAGAAACAAAAGAATAAATTAGTGGTGGTATTTTACCTAAGTCAGAAGAATTTTTTTTAAAGAAATAAATTTTAGAAAAAGAATTGTGGTGTGATGTAGTGATTTTTTGTTATGTGGAAAAAATAGAATTTGTAATGCCCGAAACATACTCCCTCCGTTCATATTCAAACCCAGAATTGGGTTTTTTTGAGACGAAGGGAGTATGTTCGTATCATTATCACCCTCTTTAAGGTGGCCATAATTAGTAGTACTACTTACCAAAGCTGAAGAAACAAACTCATTCTAGTTAAATCTATTATATTATTAAAAGAATAGAAAAAGGAGCTTCCACGTTCGTTCTCATGGCCTAGAAATTCTCACATTAATCGAAGAAAAAGAAAAGGCAGAGTCCATATAGAAATACAATTTAAAAATAGCTGAAATTCGGAATTAAAAATAAGGAATATTAGAAGTAGAGAATAGAGTCCATATAGAAATACAATTAGGAAATAACTGAAATTCCGAATTAAAAATAAGGAATATTAGAAGTAGAGTATAGAATCCATATGGAAATACAATTAGGGAATAAACATAATAAAATTAAAAGTAGAGTTTAGAGTCCGTATAAAAATACAATTTACAAATAACTAAAATTCGAAATTAAGAAAAACATGGGAAGAAGAGTTTAAAGTCAATATAGAAATACAATTTAGAAGTAACTGAAATTTGAAATTAAAAATTAAAGAATATTGAAAGATGAGTTTAGAGTCCACATAGAAATACAATTAGAAATAATAAAAAATCAGAAATAAAAATAAATAATATTAGAAGAAGAGCATAGAGTTTATATAGAAATACAATTTACAGAAAATTCGGAATTAAAAAAAAAGAAATATTAAAAGATGAGTCTAGGGTCCATATATGAATATATATAATTTACAAATAACTAAAATTTGATATTAAAAATAATTAATAACTAACACGTATATAAAATACAATATGAATATTACACATTAGTAGTTTTGTAAAGTTATTGCAAAATTTAAAATTATGTTGTTATTTTAATATATTTGAATAATATAATGAGAAAACATATATGTTATTATATAAGAGAAAATATAATGATGCTAGCCGCGCAATCTGCGCGGGCCACCATGCTAGTTAATAAAAAGTAAGAGTACATTTTTTTCAAAAAAGAAAAAAAGCGAGTGAAAGATCTTTAAACATATTAAAATGCATTGGCATAAATTAAGATATGAAAAAAAAATTTAGGACCTCTAATTAGTCATCCACTTCGTAGGTAGTCCCTCATCGACAACGTTGCAATTCTGATCATTCATGGCTAGAATGAAATTGATTAAAGAAAAGTGGTGATTAGTTAAGAACCTAGTAAGATGTAGCCATGCAGGACAGCAAGTGAAACAAATTTCCCAGATTATTTGCCGTCAAATTGAGGAACTATATTGACCGGGCATGCATGAAAATACTCGCTCATGCGTGATGATTGATGGAATATTATGGCGTTGCTTTGCTTGGGTTGGGTCTAAACGTGAAGGAACATCGATCGATCATACAAGCGCGATAGCGATGTGACTCATTTACCACTGATCTGACCTGATTCTGATCGAGAGAAATCACTGAAATGCATGCGCATGCGTGCACTGCAACACAAACATATTGATTCATCCATGGATCGATCGACAGATATATCTAGCTTGAGTTTGAATGTTGCATATATAATAATACTAGCAGCTCATTTATGATTTCTCGATATATATATATATATATCTGATGCGCTCTTGCGTGTCCGTTTGCACTCGAGATATTGAAGAAGAAGAAGTTGCATTGCTTGCAAGATATATATGCGACAGTAATCGTCACATCTGTCCTGGAGAATATAATGCACAAGTGTTCATTGCAGTTCCACTACTCTTCTATCGATCTTTAATTTCCTGTATTACTATTAATCTGCCCGTTCTAACGCTATGGTGGTATTTAATAACGTAATTAAACAACTAAAAATATATACAATGTATGCTTTAGTGATTAAGACTATAATGCACAAGATAGTTTTAAGATCACACAAAAGAAAAGAAAGAGAATTAGATTGTTTAAACATCAATCTGATATATATACATAAATAGGTCAAAAGTAGACATGTTCAATACAATACATAAATACCTTCGACCAGCAGTGAAACACATTGTCTGCTAAATCTTCAGGATGCGTTTGCACAGTATCATAGATATAGCAGAAAGAAAAATGCTACGCATACGATTTTTGTACGATCAAACGTAACGGCGCGGACGGCAGGGGAACCTAACGCGAGCGCACGGCGCACGGCGCACGCACACGCGGCAGGAGCGCTTATGGGCCCGAAAGCCCAATTAACCTCTTTGCAGCATCTGACTTGAGATTATATCTATACTTGAGATTATATTAGAATAATCTACCAGGTAGTATTCAATCTAACTAAATTTACTGTCTAATCTAAAGGGAAAAGAAGATATTTTGGGCCTTCTTTCTCACGACTAAAAGAGCGGAATGTTTGAAACAAGTTCTGCTTCATCACCATGTGACATCAATTAATGTGCTGAGCAGCACTATACTTTGGCTTTTAAGTTTGTCTCTAGGAAGTCTCTATGTATCTAAACATATGCAAACCTTGTTTGACATTGGTTCATACTACCTCCATCATTTTTTAATAGATGACGCCGTTGATTTTTTCTCACATGTTTGACTATTCGTCTTATTCAAAAAATTTATGTAATTATAATTTATTTTGTTATGAGTTGTTTTATCACTCATAGTACTTTAAATGTGATTTATATCTTATACATTTGCATAAAATTTTTAAATAAGACGAATGGTCAAACATGTGAGAAAAAGTCAACGGCGTCATCTATTAAAAAATGGAGGGAGTATATAATTAGAAAGAAGATTGCTTTGGTTGGCTATGCAAGCATGCCAACGAGAGAGCAGACCAGCACGTCAGAGCTTGGGCTTTGGATATGGGCTCAACAGGGAAGCGATCCGTTTCATCGCTAAAAAACCGTTAGAGGTCAGGAGAGAAACGTTTCATCGTACAAACATCGTACAAAAACAATCGTACGTATAGCAGTGCTGATAGCAGAAAGCATATTCACAAATCTTGAAGCACAAAGGAGGTAAACAAATATTATTTGGCTCTGTGACAATAATCTAACATCTACAACACTATAAAAAGTGATGTCTAAACGGCACAAGTAGGTTGGTGCAGTAGCGCGTAAGTTGCAACTTAAACCTTGAAGTATTAAACCTTGATGTTCACCCTTTGGCTCTAGAAACTATTCCTCTACATTGTTATCAGCCACTGAGGAGTATTATCTCAACATTGTAGTATTACCTACCAACAGAGATTGTTTTTTTTATTTTACATTGACAACAAGATCCTTGATACCTTGTTCTTTGAAGAGGTTATATGCCTCCGTCCAATCTGAAATAGTAAAACAACGAACAAATCGTAAGTGCAAAATATATAAAAGGTATCAGAAAATGCCTATCAGAAGTTTCAAGAGAAACATGCTTGACCCTTTTGTATTTCACACCATAATCTTATATAGGGCCTGTTTGGTACAGCTCCAACTCCTAAATTTAGCTCCAGGAGTTGGGTTTGGAGTGGAGTTGTGGAGCTGCCTAAACCCAGCTCCACAACTCTAGTTTATTTTGTGAGAGAGCTCCACCTAGCTCCACTCCTAGTTTTGGTGGAGCTGAAACTGTTTGGCTGAGCTCCAGCTCCAGGAGGGGTAGAGTTAGAGCTGGAGCTGTGCCAAACAGGTCCATAGGCTCCTAAAACACAATTCAGATATCAAGTTAATCGAACAAAATGGAGTATACATGCGCAAAAATCATTCGACATTAAATTTAATTGTCAAAGGTGACATAATCTTTACCCTGCAATATTCATCCATCATCTCATATAACTCCAAGCATTCAGATTTGTAAGGTGCATTTATAAATTTCGTGAAGGAACCTATCAAAGTTCATCCATCAGCTTGTTACAGTTCTTATAAGTGATAGTTTTGTGTTGAACATGTGACGGTTTTCCGATTGCAAAAAAACAGAGAGAACTTGCAAAAAGCAAGTTGAATTTTCATTAAAAAACGAGTTCAGTGGTTGGGAGTATAGAAGAAAACAAAGCTTAAAATGTAAATGTAATTGCAGGGAATGAAATTGTGGTGTAAGCATTGAAACTGCAAGCAATGCACTGATTAACTTGACTATTACATGTAAGTCTGTTCTAGCTCAATCACTAACTGCATCCCCTTTACTGACCAAAACTATAGTCAACCTTGAGCAGGATGAGCACATCCACAAACCCATGGAAGATGTGCTCCAACACAGAAGACCATAAGCAAGAGCTATGTAATTTGCCTTCAATTCAGTGAGTCCCAGTTTCAGTGAGCAAAATCCATCAGATAAGCAAGACAACATGAAAAGGCTACAGAAAACAAGAAAACTTCTGAACCACTCACCTCTTGTCAACATGATTAGTTTTGTTCCTAACCAGCACAATTATAGAAATCACTGCCCCTCTCAGTTCTGAATTCCTCTATCCATTTTGAAGTGTTTAGGAAATATTGCCTGGCTACAGCATGTAAACTAAATTTAAGGAAAAGGGCCTCAGGACAAGAAGGAGCATTTATAATGCAAACTATCAAAAATCACAATTTTGTGTTCATGTGCCATCAAATTTGCTTGGCAACAATCTCTGCCGGTCTGGTTCATCCTTGCTAGTTTATATGGCACCTTAGATACTATAACATGTGCTAAAGAGTGAATCACAATAAGAGCATACCTTCAGTACCACTCCGGACCAACAACCTCTTCTCGGGTGCCAACAAGGTCCTCAACGCCGGTTGCTCAGCATGTCTGAATGCAGAGGAGGAACTGAGAAGCTATTCGATTTACTCATTGCTATCAGCTATCAACTTGCATGTGTATCTCCATGCCACCGCAATCTATTATACAGTAAAAAGTTCAGTGCATCGCTAAATAAAAATAAAAATACTTCAATCTACATGTTTAATTTTTATCTAAGGGTTATTTTTCAAAGCTACTAACAGTAATTAATAAGTTGTTATCTGCAGTTCTAGGAAATGATTGGTATGTTAATGGGCGAAATCGAGTAAAGTTAAATGGATTTGCAAATTGATCTAAAATAAGATTATTAAAACAGATTATTCCATGATAATAACTGTACTGCCAGTAAAGATAATTAAAACAACAGCAGTAGCAGGAAGTTCCACGCCCAATCTAATTTCAAAATGACTGTAAGAATTCAAGCATGAAGATAAATAATGGCTGTCAAAATCTGATATGATGGCAGTGATGTATATAAGTAAATTTGATATGTCGGCAGTGATTTGATATAAAAGTCGTTCCCCTTTCAATTGACTATACAACAAATCTACTCCATCAGAAATTAGAAATGTTGTTAGCATATTCAGAAAAAAAAAAGAGTAGAGTTTGATTTAGTTGCAGAGCCTCTCCAGTCTCCACCAATTTTGGTATCCGACCTGAAGGCCCTGAAGGTGCTAGTTACAGTCACAGCACCTTTATTTTCCTTCTGGTATATCTGCAAGCCTTCGAAATGAGTCAGGACACAAATAAGCTAATATTAGCATTCGGGAGGGATAGAAAGAAGTAAAATCCACAACAATTTTCAGACGAGTAATTTCACATAGAAACTCATAATTTGAATAAAAATAATACGTCACATGTAAACAATTCGATTGTGAAATGTCTAAAATTTGCTTCTTTCCTCCTTGGAAGGCAGAACCAGGAGTTCAATCCCTAAGACGATAGACCAAGAGATAAGGAATATTTACGTGAACACGCAATAGGTTTGTGCGACAGATCGCGCAAGGCAGCACGACGGGGCGGGAGGGCGACCCTCCGGTCGAGGGCAAATGGGCAGGCACAGGGGTAGGGGGCTGTGCAGTGAAGTCTTTACTGTGTATCGGGCGTGGCGGCTTAAATGACACGACGACGACGACGAATGGAACAAATAAACATATAGGGCAAAGCTTGAGCTATTAACCTATTATTATATTTTTTGAAAAACTCACCTAATCCTGTCAACGATGTCGGCCCTGAGGCCCCAAAGTTGCTATCCATTGGAACCCTGAAATGCACAAGTCCAAATTTATTAGAGTTCAATCCAGTACAAACCATAAGGCAGAATCTCAGTGCTGCTGATGGTAGTTTTTTTCTCATCGGTTGATGTAAACGTTCAGAATCATAGTCATTCAACATTCACAAATCAAAGAAACTTAATATTCTTACTTATGAGCATGACATGACAAACCACATAGTCATTCAACAATCACAAATCAAAGAAACTTAATATTCTTACTTATGAGCATGACATGACAAACCACGTAGTCATAAAAAATGGGATATTACTACTTGATTGCAAAAATTATTACTTAAGGTATTTGTGATGAAAGAAGGGATTCACAAAGCTTGAAACATGAACTGATGATAAACGAACACTTGAGCTCATTGCCTACACCTAACATTTGGTTTAATACACGGTAAAAAAATTAAACCACGTTGACAAATCAGAATTGGAACAATATAGGGATGTTTCTAGAACAAGACGATTCAGATGGCTTGATCAAAAAAGAAAATCAAACCATCTCAAGCTGTATATACATGGAAATCAAGGAGTAGAAACCAGGAGTTGGCCAGGTGCGCAGGCATGGTCTACGTCATCACATAGATGATTCAGAAAATAAATATTATCAGCAGATTTCCTAGAGCCAGGTTAATCATAACAGCTGGCTCAAAATCACACCACGGATTGAGCTACTTACTGGACATTTCATCGAACATGTGGCGGCCATATCGTCGGGCGTCATGGTGGGGCACGAGGGGATACATACCTTCAGATGACGCGGGGCGTCGGCGGTCGAGGGTGGCGCGGGGCGTCGGTGTTCGAGGAGGCGGCGCAGGTCGAGGGCGGCGCGGGGTCGAGGGCGGCGAGGAGGGGGCGCGGGGCGTAGAGGAGGCGGCAGCGGTCGAGGGCGGCGAGGAGGCGGCGGCGGTCGAGGGCGCGCCGGGCGGCGTGGAGGCGGCGGCGGTCGAGGGCGGCGTGGAGGCGGCGGCGGTCGAGGGCGGCGAGGAGGGGGCGCGGGGCGGCGATGGAGGGCGCGCGGAGGAAGGGGTGACGGCGGCGAGGAGGCGGCGCGTTCGAGGGACGCGTGGGACGCGGGTCGTGGGGCGTCGACGCTTTTTACGCTTTTTTGGTTCCGGATCGCATGTAACTTTTTTTTTATTTTTTTGTCGCTCCAAACGTGTCGATGTACGTTTTTAAGTTGGATTGTATATCTGCTTTGATTGTATATTTTCTAAGTAGTAGAGATTCCCCAAAAATCTTTAATCTCTTCACTTTGCTTAGGTTGGCTCCGGTTGACAGTGACACGGGGAAAGGCAATCGGACGCGGTTGAGGGCCGCTTTCGCAAACGGTATTGGGCCAGAATGTAAAAAAAGCCCATAGCCCATTTTTGTCGATCTGATTTCTAAACGAAGCCCATAGCCCATTAACGAAAAGAGCCCACGGCCTCTTCTCTTCTTTCTTCCTCCTCTGCAAGCCGCCGACGAGGCAAATGAGAGAGGAGGGAAGAAAATCGTAAAGGAGAGAGAGAAGAAGAAGAAGAAGAAGAGCGGAAGAGGAGGGGAGGAGCCATGGATGCTTCAGCGCTCAGCAACCCGCGGCTGCAGGCCATGCTAGAGGTAATAATAAACCCATAATGTATTAGGGAGATTTAGAGATGAGCGGCACACTCGAGTACCCGACCTATGGAACCCTAACATGGAGATTAATTAGCAGCCCCCTTCTTTTGATCCCTTCCTGCTCTTCAGCCCATCTTTTTGTTGGTACGCTCGCTATTAATTATGTGTCCTTTCTAGATCTACTCGGAGATTCGTGAAAAAGGCTGAGCTTTGGGCGAAAGTTTGCTGATTTGGGCCAAGTTTTTGCCCTTACTGTTCCTTCCAACCTTTAGCTTATTATGTATACATTTTATTTATTTTGTTCAGTTGTTTTAGCAATATTCTTCAGTCTGCAGGAAGGTTGTGCCCTAATTTAACACATGTGCTGGAATTTACAGTTTAGGTGGAAATCGATACTCGAATCCTAGTTGCATATTAATTTGCATATTACTCGATACCCAAGTACCCAGTAACCCTGACTGCAAACTAAACTAATTTGGATAAGTCTAGTTTTAGCCTTTTAGGCACCATCAGAATGGTCCTGGTGGAGATGCGCTCGTAGCGCAGTGGCAGGGGTCACTGGCACGCACCCCGTCGGCCCGGGTTCGACCCTTGTCGAGCACGCTCACCAGGGGAAATATTTACCTCTTCCTTCTTAAAATCATTGACACCAAGTTCTTCCTTGGTGTCTAACTTTTCTTTTTTAGAATGGTCCTGGTGGTTCATGAAGTCTTTCCTAAAAATCCCCATAACTTGAAAAGTTTTTAACGCTTCAACGGAGGAGATATTCTGTTATTCCTAATTGCTTTTGTGGTGCTCTATATTTAAGGACTATGGCTGTTCACTCATTACTAATAGAAGTTACAATTCTCTCTCATGATATCCAACAAATTATTTATTGTCATGCAGTAGTTTCTTAAATTGCAGTAGTCCCAAATCCCGAGTGTGTAGCCGCTAATGCATATAGCACGGTGAGGTGTTTTATTAAATTTGATTTGCTACCAGCTTTGTTATGTAAGAAAATGATAGTGCAGTGTATTCTGGCATGTTGCAAGGAGCCAAGGATGTTTTCCCGGTGACGTACTGATATGTGGGAAAAGAAGTACTAGAATAGAAAGATCATCAGTCTGCAAATTAAACGACTTGAGGAAAAAAAAGGAATTGCCTATTTTACATCTAGTATGCTGCTAGGACCTTTGTCCTGGGTTTCTGATATGTTCATTAATGGCAGAAGTTGCTTGCTTCCCTTTATGCACAAGAAATTATTTTGTGTACTCTGTTCTTTGGACAATGGATAATTAAGCCATGTGTTCTTTGTCAAGATCCACTATTCAATTGCAGAACCGTGGTGATTGTTACTCACAGAAATGTTACTGACAATTTTGTTTTCTTCCCCTCTTCAGGAGGAGAAGAGGAAGGCAATGGCAAACGAGTTCGTGGCGAAGCTGACTGATGTTTGCTGGGACAAATGCATCACTGGGAGCATTGGAAGCAGCTTCAGCAACAGCGAAGCCTCGTGTCTGTCCAACTGCGCGAAACGCTTTTTCGAACTGAAGATGCTCATCGTGCAACGAGTTAGCAGCCCTAGGTGAAAATTCGCATAGGTCTTTTCTGCGTCGAGAATGTAGAATCTATAATAGTTGATGCTAGAAACTAGAGAGGCATCACTTGCTTTTTGCTGCATTTTATCAGTTTTGGTGTTTTTCCTGCTATACGTTCTCAGTGAAACGATTGCAAGTTTTGCTCTTGCAAGGAGATTAAAAGCGCTACTGTACTTTGACTACTTTTGACCTGAAAAGAATCAGAGACAAGCTCATAGCCTGGAGCAGAAAATGTGTTACTGGGGTGTACTGTCTTGGGAGAGAATGAGGTGTGTGTTGAAGTGAAATGAGTTCAACCAGCTGATGCAATAATGATCAGAAATTCAACACCTCCAGTGTTCTGCCATGAAAGACTCAAGACTGAACTATACCACTGTTCTTTTTTACTCAGATAAACTACACATCACCGCCGTTCTAGTTCGTGTTTAAGTAGCCACAATTAATTAGTTATCGTATATTCCAGAGGCACGTATCTCGAGATTATCCAACGGTGGATGGTGTACGCCAGCGCTTAGTGGCACACTGACACGACTGCATATCCACATATACATATATACATTTGGCGATTTCATCTAGGGGTCTCCGATAGTGGAACTGCCTGTGCCCCTTCAAGCTCCCCTAGCTACTCTCACGCATTCCCCAGCAAAGGCGACATCCTCAAGGTACACACTCCTCATCCAGTGCTTCTTGATCAGCTTTCTCTCCATTGTTTTTTTTCCCTCTAGAATCCTAACTAATTTTCTGCAAGTCCTCTAGCTAGTTCCTGACCATCTTTTTGTAGCAAATTCGTGTGATTTGTTAGTGTTCTTATTTGTGTGCACTGTGTAAATGTCTGCATTGAGTTTAACTATGGGTTTGTTGAACAAATGGATATTGTATTTGGGTTGCCTGAATGACCACCTCGAAGTTGCAATGCATTTTGCTGCCATCTTTTTAATTTGGTGCCTGCATTTTCGGTTAATTTTTAAGGGGGAGTAGGTAGGACTTTGAAATGTTAATGCTTTTGTGGGACCAATTAACTCCAATCAGAATATCCATGATTCATATGCCATAGAAACGTCACATTGACACATTTGTGTATCTTTAGTGAGCCAGCAGTACTCAGCCAACAGGCCAAAGTATGCAGACTGTTCTGTTTCTGATTGTTCAGAAGTTGCACTTTTCTGATTTTGCAGATCTATTTCTTTTTATTCGATTTCTTCGGTCTACGTTGTATTGCACTGAACAATGCTTTTTTTTATATTCATCTTGCGCACTTATTCTTAGCATATCAAATTCTGAGACATCATTCATCATGCTGAAATCATACAAGTATTATGTTCAGACTATTTAATGACTTCTGCTTTTGCTACTGCCAGAATTTCTCCAAGAGTTCACCATGGAGAACTCGGAAGATGAAGCAGAGAGTGACAAACTACCCTTAGACTTGGAGCCATTGCGCTCATTAGCACCAAAGTTTCCTACTATTTTGGGATATGATGTGGAAACTCAATCAACTGATCCACTGTTAGTTTATGCCACACCATCCATACCTTGCTCCTCATCAGAACAGCCTCAAGAAGCCCCAGCTTCATTTTCTCTGCCCTTACCAAAGTCACCCGTCCCTATAAAGGCTACACCCATCTCAGCGGCATTTCCAACACCGCAACATGAAGATGAATCATCAGATCAAGATTACAAGCCCTTTTGCAAGAATAAAAAACCAGCGATGCCGAAGAGAGCCAAGAGGCCCCAGCAAGCTGAGAAATCCAATGATGCTAACATCAAGCGCAGATCAATAAGGAGGAACCTGGACAACGAGTTCAACTTGTGCTCATCCTCATCAGACAACCCAAAGGAATCGGTGGAAGGAATCCTGATGATGTTTGATTCACTTCGGCGCCGTGTACTGCAATTGGATGAAAAAGAGGATGCAAGCAGGCGGGCTGACCTGAAAGCTGGCACTCTCATGATGCAGAACAACCTCAGAATCAACAATCATAAGATGATAGGGCATGTGCCTGGTGTTGAAGTCGGTGACATTTTCTTCTTTAGGATTGAGATGTGCATTGTTGGTTTACATGCACCAGCCATGGGTGGCATTGATTACATCTCTTCTAAGAACAAAGATGAGACTCTGGCTGTCTGCATCATTTCATCTGGAGGCTATGAGAATGACGATGATGACACTGACATTTTGGTGTACACAGGACAGGGAGGCAACAGTCGTCACAAGGAGAAGCACGATCAGAAGCTTGAGAGAGGTAACCTTGCTCTCATGAACAGCAAGAGCAAGAAGAATCAGATCAGGGTTGTGCGCAGCGCACAAGACCCCTTCTGTAACTCAGGCAAAATATATATTTATGATGGGCTTTATCGTATCGAAGACACTTGGACAGACACGGCAAAGAACGGATTTAATGTTTTCAAGTACAAGCTGAGAAGGGACCCAGGACAGCCTGATGGAATTTCACTTTGGAAGATGACTGAGAAGTGGAAAGCAAATCCTGCCACAAGAGAAAAGGCTATATTGTTGGATTTATCATCAAAGGTTGAACACCTACCTGTGTGCCTTGTTAATGATGTTGATGATGAAAAAGGGCCAAGTCACTTCAATTATGTTGCTGGAGTGAAGTATTTGAGACCTCTTAGGAAGACAAAACCATTACAATGTTGCAAATGTCCTAGTGTCTGCTTGCCTGGTGACCCTAATTGTTCGTGTGCGCAACAGAATGGTGGTGATCTTCCTTACAGTGCAACGGGATTGCTGGCAAAGCACACTCCGATGGTTTATGAGTGCTCCTCTAACTGTCAGTGTTCTCATAATTGTCGAAACAGGATCACACAGAAGGGTATAAAACTGAACTTTGAGGTTTTCTGGACTGGAGACCGTGGCTGGGGTCTGCGGTCGTGGGATCCTATCCGTGCTGGCACATTCATTTGTGAGTACGCCGGTGAAGTCATTGATGAAACTAAGATGGACATAGATGTTGAGGAAGACAAATATACCTTTCGCGCTTCATGTCCCGGCAATAAGGCTTTAAGCTGGAATTTGGGAGAAGAATTACTTGAAGAAAAAAGTACGGCTGTGATAACCAAGAACTTTAAGAAACTACCAATCATCATAAGAGCAAACAATGAAGGGAATGTGGCTCGTTTTCTGAACCATAGCTGTTCTCCAAATCTCCTTTGGCAAGCTGTACAGTATGACCATGGCGATGACAGCTACCCACATATCATGTTTTTTGCAATGGAACATATCCCTCCCATGACTGAACTGACTTATGATTATGGTACAAGAGGTGCTCCCCCTGGCTTTGAGGGAAAACCCTTCAAAGCTTGCAAACTCAAATCATGCCTCTGTGGCTCTAAGCATTGTCGAGGTTTGTTCTGATAAAAGATATGGAGGCTGGTGTACTAAAGCAGGTAAAACTTGTTTAACAATCGTTCCAATTTATAATTTTTAAAACAAAATCTGCTTCTTCATGGGAAATGCATTCTTCCAACCTATTTATGCAACTGAATAATCTCTTTTAAAAGTAGCTGATTCATCACTCCATTCATGTAAGTCAAGAACTCTCAAAACAACTCTGTGGTTACAGTCGCCTGCAGCACCTATGTGGCGATTTTCATGCTTTGGTACATAAACATCTATTTTCAACTTAAGCTTAGCATGCCATATATTTATTCAAGAATGTATATAATATTGACGAACTGAACAATTAGATCTGAAACTATGGCAACTCTATTTCTCTTGTGACTGCCTAATGCTTCCATCCTACATTTGCAGGATATTAAACTACTCTATGAATGGTAGCATAAAGTGATAAAGGGGCTCTCGGTATTTGTGGTGGTGGGTTAGTGGAAATGTGTAGCAAGGACTGATGCTTTGCGTGGCATGAGATGAGACCCTCACATTTTGTGCTGTACATTGCCCATGTCGTAGGCGTGTAGCCACTAATGCAATTACTATATCTTTTGCTAGTTGCTGTGGTAGCACTAAAGCTCTGTTAACTTAGTGGATGAGATCATATGGATGTGAAGCTGTAGCACTAAACCCTGTTAACTCTGTGAATGAGATCATCTGCATTACTGCATATCGTTGTGCTGCTACGATGCTATATAGGTCGTATAGGAAATATTTGACTTCATGTGCATATGGTTTTGCAGCTTATGCTGCTGCTTGATGATATGAAGATCTTTTTTTTTTGAAAAAAAAATCATGTGGATGTGGTTATGCTGTTGGTGTGGAGGAAATATTTGAAAAAGAAAAAAGTTATGCTGTTAAAGTTGCTCGATGATATGGAGGGTTTTTTTGAAAAAAAAAAGGTCATGTGCATTTGGTTATGCTGTTGTTATTGAGAAATATTTGAATTTTTTAAAATAAAAGAAAGATCATGTGCATGTGCATGTGTTTATGTTATTGTTATGGAGAAATATTTTTTGCATGTAATTATGCTGTTGTTATTGAGAAATATTCGAATTTTTGAAAAAAAAAATCATGTGCATGTGGTTATCAAGTGTTTATGTTATTGTTATGGAGGAATTTTTTTGCATGTAATTATGCTGTTGTTATTAAGAAAAATATTCAAATCGTTGAAAAAAATGGAAAAAAACATGTTTGTGTCTGAGCCCAGGTTCGAACTGGGGACCTTTAGTGTGTGAGACTAACGTGATAACCAACTACACCACCCAGACTTGTTGTCTTAACTGCCTGTGCTCGCCTATTTAACCAGTTCACGTTTATTTGACAAAATCTCAAAATCATTCCTTTTCATATGAACTATCTAGAGGAAGAATAGACCACGTATGCCCCGAAATAATTCTTTTTCATATGAACTATCTAACCACATATGCACGAATTGCGCAAGTTATAACAAACTACAACTGTTTGAATTCTGACAACTGATATTGAACTACGACGGCCAAGTTTCGGAATTTCATTTCAGTTCTTTGACCACTTGCCATGTAACACTTGATCCGCCATCAATAAAATGATTGTAAAAAAAAAAAAAACTGATATTGAACCATGCGAACTACAACCGAATGAATTGTGGCCCTGTTTAGATTCCAACTTTTTTCTTCAAACCTCCAACTTTTCCGTCATATCGTTCTAATTTCTTCAAACTTCCAATTTTAGCGTGGAACTAAACACAGCCTGTGATCTCAAGCAAATGTGTGAGACCAGTACAGCACATCCCCTTACCACAGAATTATGAGAGAAATCTACAGCACATTACGCTGTATAATGTACAATACAACACAACGAGTATTTACCAGAAATCTCCACAAGAACACACCCCGTCTCTGAAGTGATGGAACCGGGTACGGTCCCTCATGACAATCTCTCTACCATACACCCGAGATACAAGCTTTGCGCTCTCATGGCAATCGGCACACACCCGGAGGTTCTTGATGATCCTAATGGGAGCTCCTGGATTGGAAGCGATCAGAGCAAAGGCAATGGCGAGCCTCTCGCTGTGGTAGGACAGTGCATCCGCCTTGTCCTCCTCCTCGACATCAAACAACGCAGATGAGGTGCTCGACCGGTGTCCGCACTCGCTTAATCTGGTCTCAATATCCTCAACCATGGCGTATATCTCCTTTGAGGCAGGATGCGTCTTGTCACCCACCAAGAACTCATGGAGAACTCCATTGATGTCTACAAAGCTTGATCCAGGGCTCTTGTCAATGCCCATGGACTTCATCTCCTTCCTCGCCTTCTTAGCGTCGTCCCATCGGTTCGTTGTTGCGTAGAAGTTGGAAATCAGGACATGGTTTCCACTGTCATCCGGTTCAAGTCGCATCAATTCTGCGATCATCTTCTTGCCGAGTTCCAGCTTGCCATGAATGCCACAGGCCCGGATCAGAGACCTGTATATCGCAGCATTTGGCACGATGGGCATTCCGTGGATCAGCTTCTCGGCATCGTTAAGTCGACCAGCCCGGCTCAGCATGTCAACCATGCATCCGTAATGCTCAATACTTGGCTCAATCCCGAATTCGATCTCCATTCTGTCAAAGTAGTCCAGACCTTCATCCACCAATCCAGCATGGGCACAAGCACACATCACGGACAGCACAGTGACGCCATCCACCGGCACGCCCTCACCGTGCATTCTGTCGAACAGGGAGAGGGCAGCACGGCCATGGCCATGGACTGCCAAGCCATGGAGCATCGCATTGTAGCAGCGTGTGTCCCTGTCCGAAGCGGCTGCAAAGACCTGCTCGGCCAGGTCCAGCCTCCCGCACCCGGCGTACATCTCCACAAGCGCGGTGGCCACAATGCAGTTGACGGCGAGCCGGCGTTTCACGGCATAGGTGTGCGCCCACACCCCATGGCTGACAGCGCCAAGCTCGCCACACGCGCCGATGACGGCGACGAGCGTGATCTCGTTGGGTTTGATGGCTAAGGATAGCATCCGCACAAACATCTCGAGGATAGCATCCGCCGCAGAGGAGGCGCAGGCCACATCCCTGGCACGAAGGCGCGCGTAGGCGGAGAGCAGCGCGTTCCAGGCCGGCAGGTCGGGGTTAGCGATCCGGTCGAACACCTTCCGGCACGAGGCGATCCTGCCGCAGCGGGCGAAGACGTCGAGCAGCGCGGCACCGAGGACGCGGTCGCAGGAGGCGGCATGGGCGCCGAGGAATTTGATCGAATGGGTGGCGAGCGCGAGGGCGAGGGCCGGAGGCGCGGCGCGGAACAGCGGCGGGTAGGTGAAGGCGTTGGGGCGGAGGAGCGGCGGCGAGGAGGAGGATAGGAAGAGGAGGGCGTAGAGGGAGAGCGCGGAGGGGAGGCAGCCGGGGGAGGAGGAGGCGAGGAGGAAGGAGTTGGCGAGGAAGGTGGTGGGCGGGAGCGGGGAGGAGAGGAGGAGGCGGAGGCGGTGGGGGACGGGGAGGAGAGGGGAGGCGAGGCGGAGGAGGAGGGAGAAGTTGGGGGAGTGGCGCGCGAGGCCGGCGGTGAGGAGGAGACCGTGGAGCTGCGCGAAGAGGCGCGCCGGGAGCGGGAGCGGGAGCGCGTCGCGGCGGCGGAGCGCGGGCAGCGGGTCGGCCGCGCGGCGGGCGAGTGCTGCCTCCGCTGCGGCTGCGGCTGCGGTTGCTGGGCCCATGTGCACCTGGGCTGCTACGGGGAGAGAAACATTCGTCATAGTTCACTTTTGATTGGACCAGTCTTTGGGCCGTAAGTAAGCCCAGTTAAATATTGGAATAAGTTTAATATGCCTCCCTCAACTCATGCCGCTGCTTGAATCGCATCGCTCAACCACAAGAGTATATGTACACACACTGCTTGACTATACTGCCTCCTCTCCTGTTTACAATGCATGTTACAATTCTGGCTCTGGGTCGTCATGGTAATAGTACCTGTTCCTGTTGGATTCCATCACTCCGTGCCTCCGTAGATAACATCAAGCTGGTAACTCGGTTCCTGCAACAAGCACAAAGGTTGAGGAAATTCCAGCAGCCCAGTGAAAGTGCAGTCATAATTCAAGTTGAGTCACTGTAAGACCTCCTTACCGACTACTAGGACAACAGTTCATGACTGGTCATTGTTCAAACAGGGAATGTAACCCAACAATTCCAGCAAGACACAACAAACTCAAAATAAATGGCACTAAGGATCTCATCAGACATACGCATCACCAACACAAGTAGATAATGACCTTTCAATACCACAGCGTTATATACGCAACCCAAGTGGCAAAATTAAGCTGCAAGAAGCCAATAAAAAGTAACCATCTCGCAATGTTGAAATAAACAACGAGCATAATCAACTGTTCAGTCTCAGACTTCCACAAACCAGGAAAAAACAGTCTCAGGCATTTAATTTTCCATGTACAGTACAGAAATGATACCCTCAATGTTGAAGATGAACATGTGGAGGTACAGAAATACTGATCAGAGTGAATGCTGCCCTTTGCAACATCAGATCATTGACCATTCACTACAAAATTAAGTTCCATCGCTAAAATTGCAGTATCCAATGAATAGACACCCAAAAGTGTGAAGTAGCCTCACGGTAAAGAAAGTATGCTCTACAGCCCCCTGAAGAAATGTGGTTCATGTCTACTTTCATTATTTAGAATTTGGCACACTTCGTGTGGAACGAGACTTTCTTGGAGAATATGTGGAGTAATGTTCAGCATGCGGCCACTACATTGAAATTTCTCCAGCAAATTGCCCTTTATGTCGTAGTGAAACTGCCAATCAAATCCATCAACCAAGACATCACCCTCTTGAGAAACAATATGAAGATACCAACCATCATCTTCTTCAAAACGGCGAATCTCTATAACTGGCAATTCAATTCGATACTTGTGGACCCATACCATATGCTTATAATCTTGCAGAAGCCAAAGATCCACCTTTGATGATCCAATATGGCTGTTTGACATGGCAAGGCTACCCTCAATCTCGAGTAATGACGACATATTGTGCATCTTGAAAGGTACATGCAACCACCGAAACACCTCATCGAGAGTGTCGAACACCACTATCTTGTTCTGTCCACCTAAGTGCGGCAGCCAGTGCAGGTTTCCATGAAACAGGAAAGGCTCGTTGAACTGAGTTTCCTCCTTCCCTTTCGCCAACCACTTTCTCAGGGATGCTGACGATGAATGGGGCCAAATGCTCCTCTCCTTCCCTGAGCCAACAATGCTGATGTAGAATTCAGGGCCCAAACCAATTTCTCGATAATACAATACTCGGTATTCAGAAGAATGGCCATGAGAATAGAGCCCCAGGACGGTGTCATGTTGAAGCGCCGGCGGGAAGACCCAAAGCCATTGACGTGTAGTAGGATTGCAGAGATGCAAATAGTTGTTGTAGGACATGAGAAGGAGACCATCGCAAGAAGCGTGGACGGTGAATGGGCTGTCTTCGAGTGAGCAGTCGTAATCTTGGCCAGTGAACCGGGCCAGAGACTGGAACTGGTGTGTGCGGAAGTCAACGGCTTCAACACAGTAGTCCAGGATATCCAGGTCATCGTGGCGACTGCCCACGTCGCGGATGAAGGTGAGGAGGCGCTGCGGAGGCTGGCGGCAGTGGTGGGGAAGGAGGAAGGCGCGGTCGGAGGTGACGTCCCGCCAGACTTTGCAGACGGCACGGCACTGGAGGATGGATTTTGGCGGTAGCAGGAGCAGAATCTCCGACAGAATTTCTTCAGGGAGGTTGGCAATGGTGAGAGGCCTACGACGCTGCTGTTCGGGCAGCCTCACCATCTCCGCCATTGCAATTGAGCCCCCAGCTGACAATTTGGACTAGGACCCTAGTGCTGCTGCATCCTTGGCTCCTTGCCGCTCTGAAACTGAAATGGCCAAAAATTTCCCATGGAAAGAGAGCACATTAGGATTCCAGACCGTCAAGAACTTGAAAGAAAATACAGCTCAAGATGGGTGTTCGGATCTCACATGAATCAATCATCTCGTTTTGTGATCGTTATTCATCCTCCCTCCGAATCATCAGAGTAAGTGACTGATCATAACTGATAAACAAACAAGCAATTAGGACTGGATCTGATCAGGGAAAACCAAAGCCTGGACTGAGGCTCCAACTCCATTCCACCAGCAAAAGTATTTAACACCAAGAATCACACTGAAATGAAAAGGAAGATTAAAACACTAATCTAAAATACGAAGAAGCAAACTAAACTGAATCATGTCTGTCCCTCAGAATGCCTATTCTCAACAGTGCACATGGAATTATCGATCGATCGGTTCCTTCAACCTCACAGCATATTGCAGTGGAGGGAGCACCAACTGAACTGAATCAAGTGCTCAGATTACTAAACTGCTCATCACTGGGACAGAACACATGAAAATCTTCGCTAATCAATCAATCAGACATATACAGAGACAGAAATACAGGGGCAAACTAAAATACAGGTAGGTAGCAATGGACAGCAAGGGATTGGTACTTACTACTCCATGGCCTTGAGCTCGAGCCAGGCGGGCGACGGGCTTCCGCTTCTGCTGCTTCCAAGTGGAGGAGGAAATGGCGCTAAGAGGCCGCGCCGCCGCGCCGCAGTGGAGAGGATGAGAAGAATGGAGGCGGCGCCGGCGAGATGGGCACAGTTAGGTTAGACCTAAATATCCCCGCAAAAAAAAAAGGTTAGACCTAAATAAATGTAGGTGGGCCAAGAGCCCAACAAGGAAGCCGAGAGCCCAAATATGCAAAGCCCATCATCCATTGCTAGCATCTTCGTCTACCTCATCATCTTCTCCCCAAAATTGCAACTACTAGAACCCTAGTCCAGTGCGACCCAAAACCCAAGCTCCTCCTCACACCATTGCAGTTATTTGCAGCATCAGCGCAAGCACCACCCATGGCGATGGCCTCCACCCTCCCGCTCCTCCTCGTGCACCGCTCCACCCCTCCGACTCCGAGGCCTACCGCGCCGCCGCTCCTCCACTCCCGCCGCCTCACCCTTCCTTCCCGCCTCGCCTCGCTCCCCGCGACAATCGCAGTCGTCCACCCGCGCAAGGGCGTCCGCCTCTCGAAGCTCCACGCCGCCTCCTGCTGCGATTCCGCCTCCGCCGCCGGAGTCACCACCGGAGGAGGAGCTGGTGGTGGTGGAGCAAAAGGAGCAATGGATTGGCGTCTCCTGTTAGCCTGGTAAGTCCAATTCCGCCTCTTCCTGATTCCTGGTGCCTCCTGCGGCCAAGCACTGCCCATGTTCATTTGCCTCGCTTTTTGCCATACTCATATCTAAATGCAAAATTACTGAAATGCGCCATGATTTGCAGGTACCTGCTGGCTCTTGATAAGCATCCCATCACCACTAAGGCTGTTACCTCTGCCGTCCTAACCCTGACCGGAGACCTCATCTGCCAGGTGACTTGCAGTTGTTTTCTACTTCCCGCATTTTCACATCCATCCATTGCAACCCTAGTGGATTACTTAGTACTACTTAATTGGTTGACGAACAATGAACCAGTAGTCTCCCTCTCTTCTTGTAGAGGGCTTCCTGTCACTCTGCAATAGCACATTGCCAGGCGTGCTTAGATGGGTATTAGCATCAAATGGTCAAATCATACCAATTTTCCTTCAAAACAACATTGAAATGTTATCCATTGCTAATACCACTTGGAAATCAATTTACCGAGTTATGGTTCTTTTCTGCCTTAGCTGCACTCTTTTAGTTTCCTTGTTTTCTAAATATGACATGATGTGAAATTCTTAACTGGCTAGGCTATTATGGTCTTATCAAATTTCAGGTCCATATCTTTTTATCCAATCTTGCGTCAACCATAATCTGAATATATTGTCTTTACTCAACTGTGTCAGTCTTTAGCCTATGCTAATCCGTAACTCATATGATTCCTCAACGGATTTTACTCCAGCAACAGTGTCCTATTCCATTATTAAAAAACAATGTATATTCCTACTGGGTTGCATCCATGGATTGGGCAAAATATTTGATATTTCATCTGTTCTTGTTATTGTGGTATCTTGTTACGGTTTCTTACAAGATATTTACTGTTACCATTGTTGTTTGCTACTGCTCCAGCTTGCAATTGATAAAGTGCCAAAGCTAGATTTGAAGAGAACGTTTGTATTCACATTTTTGGGACTTGTCCTGGTGGGGCCAACATTGCATGTCTGGTAATCGCAACCAATGTTTATTGAGGTTTAGGATAGCATGTGTTCTCTGCCCAGTGCTGTTTGTTTCATTACTCGTTGCCACATGCAGGTACTTGTACTTGAGTAAATTAGTGACGATCAATGGTGCATCAGGTGCAATTGCTCGCCTCTTACTTGATCAGGTATGTGCATGTCCTTTTCCTCTTTCCCTTCTGCCCCCAGAGAGAGAGTGTTGCTGCTTGTTCTGTTCTAGCTTGTTTCTGCATTTATGTATTTATTTTTTGACATTTTTTTTATCTCCTCCTTTCAGTTCATTTTCTCTCCCATTTTCATTGGAGTGTTTATGAGTTTACTCGTCACCTTGGAGGGAAAGCCTTCTCTTGTAGTTCCAAAGCTCAAGCAGGTGACATGAACCTCTTCTGATTGATTCTCTCATTTCCATCGCAGATCCTCTGCAGTACTGCTGATGCAGTAGCAGTGGCTGACATGTGGGTCCGGGTCCATACGTCAGTATCTGCTACTGTATCAGCAGTACTGCAGATAATCCCCACTGCTCCCTGATAATATGTATGTGCACTCATTTACTGCTAGCTAATTTTCAATTGTAATTTTACAGGAGTGGTTATCATCAGTGATTGCGAATTGGCAATTGTGGATACCCTTTCAGTTCTTGAATTTTTACTTTGTCCCACAAAAATTTCAGGTCTTTGAAATCTTTCACATTTTCATTTCATAAAATATTTTAGAGTGCAATACTGTACTCTGGAGCTGAATTTGCTTCTTTCTGTCTGCTTTAGCATGACTGAATGCTGTTCTCACCTTACTGTTAATTTTTCCAGGTTCTTGCTGCTAATTTTGTAGCCCTTGCGTGGAACGTGATTCTATCATTTAAAGCTCACAAAGAAGTTACTGTGAAATAGGTAATCTGGGATGGTATATATATGGACATGTTATATGATATCCTTACTTCAGGTTCCCATATTAATTTGTTGAGGCGAGTGTCTGATTTAATAACTTTTCCAACAAGGGTACATTGGCGATAGTGCATATATATAACTTATTTCCTGATTTATATCTAGGTGATATCAACTACATTTCATTACACGTAGTAGTAGGCATTATGTACGTCTCTGAGCATCCTTTTATTTCCTGTTGTTTTCAATTTCACCAGCCATGTGAGACACTTTGACTTGTTCTTGTAACCTTGCACAATAACTCTTTGCCAGTGTCTCTTATTCCCGGACTTATTTTCTGCCACCCCTGAAAACAACCATGTGGACTTGTTATGGAATTATTGTAGCTTGACCTCCCCAAAGCCACACAAACCACCTTTTTGTACCTTTTGCAATTTAAAATGATGTTGATTGGTTCTAAAGGTGCCATTTGTTCTTTTGTTTCTTGTGAGGAACAACCAGTAGTGTCTCTGAAGGCAAAAGAAATGGATAAGGTCAAACAAGACTGTTTTGTCTTGTAATTCCACATAGCTAGTAGTAAAATAAATCAATAAACCCCCAGCCTGGATTTGAATCTGATTTTCTTGTTGTGTTTAAATGTTCCAGCATTTCTAATTCACTCGTTGATTAGATTTATCATTGATCAGTTTATCAGTACTAATATTTTTTGCTCTTTGCATTCGTTCTAGGTTTAGGCAGATTCGGATATATAGTTGGCGACACGGAGAAGTACGCAGTGGCTTGTCGCAGCTGCAGTTTGCTAACGAATGAGCTCCACGTCCATGCCCGGCGAGCATAGCTCTCTTTTGTGCCCCTAACAGTTGAGGTGTAGAAATTCTTTGGTAGTGAAATATCTAGGGCGTGTTCCTTACTGGTATTGCTGTACTGAAGGCGGCAAAGTAAGTAACCATATCACCGTGATGGCATGCCTGAGCCTGCAAACGCATGGTGTTGAGATCTTGTACATTGTTATATGTAGTAGGTCAAGTGAGTAGGTTCAAACTGTCATTATCTGAAGCAGTGGTGTACTGTTTCATCCTGCCAACGCGGTGTGATCAGTGGTTGTGTGCGCCAGCTGACTCTGTTTATCTGTCTGGCAAACACAGTCGGTGCCTGTTTTCTCTTGGGCTTGCATCCTTCCTGTCTCCGTTGTGTAAGCAAGGGTTGCTGTTGATCCAGCTGACCCGACAGTGATGTGTTTAGCATGAACAACACAGTTCTGCCTTCTATTTTTCTAAAGATGTTGCAGCGATGTGTAACAATGTTCATTTATGACATGAGCATGACGCAATGATGATGTAAGCATTTGTGTGTGCGCGCGCGCGGGGGCGGGAGGTAGGTCAGGTCAGGTGGGCTGTGAGGAATCACATGCACTGTAGAGGTAAGGCATGCTGGGTCCAAACAAACAACAAGTGAGAAGACATTGATGAGGACGGCAGCGGAGACCGGAGAGGAGGCAAACCAAGCAGTCAATTGCATCGATCGTTGCAAGTGCAATGGTGGTGTCCCCTCCTGCGTGGCCGGCCAGCGGCCAACATCCATCCCTCGTCGCTCTCACTGCGTAGCCATAAAAATAAGTGTGCTTTTACACCGTTCATATCTAATGTTTAACCATTCGTCTTATTTAAAAAATTTTATAATTAATATTTTTTATTAGGGTGAATACCTAAAATGATCCTTGAACTTTCGCGTAAGGATCAATTTAGTTCCTGACATTTCGTATTGTCCAAACAAGTACCTTAAGTTCATTGTGTGATTTAATATAGTCCTTAGATCCTCTAAACATGCCATGTGTATATGCCACATCATTCAAATTCAATATTTAAATGTCTGGTTTTGACCATTGGCAAAAATATGTAGCATTGATAGCTAAAAAAATTGACATTTTTCTTTGTTTTATGATTGCTTCTTCTTATTTTTCTTTTCTTTATTTGATAGAAAATTGAAGATTAAAATGGACATTTAAATGTTGTCTTACATGCATGAATGACATGGCATGTCCACGTGGCGTTTTAAGTGGGTCTAAGGACTATATTAAGCTCCATGATAATCATTAGGGTCTTGTTTGGACATTATAAAACATTAAGGACTAATTCGACCCTTGAGCAAAAGTTGAAGGACTAAACTGGCTATTCATCCTTTTTATTAGATGATAAAATATAAATAGTAGTATTTTATGTGTGACTTTTTTAAAAAATATTTCAAATAAGACGGATGGTGAAACGTTGGACACGGTTACTCATGGCTGTACGTATTTTGGGACGGAGGGGAAACTATGAACTACAAACTCATTAGAGTAGCCGCGAATTTTGACTGGCAGCTGCATGCTGGACCATGAATTCTCCTTCTTGTTAATTTACAAAAAAATATGCTAATTCTACTATTATTAGTAAGTTATTAGTAGTACGGTAAACGACATCGAGAAGTAATTAGGACAGCCGTTGGTTTGTATTGTACTCCTATGTGTTAACATCGTCCAGGAACGGACCCAGACTTTTGGCGGTTTGGACCGACTGCCTGACCATCATCACATCAGGACCAGGGGCTGCTAAGTGCTAGCCAGAGCCACACTTGTTGATGGCACAGCACACGTACACTGCAAATCGAGGAGAAAGAAATCACACGCAGACTCAGTAGTCAACAGCTCGTGCCTCTGATTCTTCCTCTCCGTTGATATAGTCCTTTCCTTGTCAACTTCCCTTTTTGCATTGTATTTTAGGGGCAATCTAGAGGTGGTTACTTGTAAGCACCAAACAGCTCAGCTCTAGATCAAGCCTACATATGTGTTTAACAAATACACTTCAAATTTGTTTTTTCTTCCCATTAAGCATGCATGTTGATTCCACACCCAATTTGTTTCTTTTTTTTCCTTTCATTTTCCGCCCTGCGTGTTTTATAGTACTCTTTACAATGAATTATATCTATTTATACTATCACATCAACTATTGATAGTACAATTATGTTAATATCACTTCTACTGACGATGCTACTGGTAGATCAATGTAAAGTTAGTTGTTAGTTGTGTAGCGGTGGTTTTCAGTCGGTTTTTCTGTAATTAACCGTGCAGTTGTATAATTTTCGGATCCGGTTTTCTTTATAAACTGGGTCAATTATCTTCTTCTAAATATAAAAGTGGAACAAAGTTCCGCCTTAGATTTCAAAAAAAAAAAATGTTACTCTTCCGCCGAACCTTAGTATGCGTGTGCATATATGATTGCAATACTTTATTTTTCTAAAAAAAAACCTGGCTCGATGATTACGATATTATTATTGTTGTATCTCACAATCAATCTTTTCCAAGTACTGATTCTCAACCCTGCTCTGCTCCAATTGAACTGTTAGCTTCATCCTAACGTATCTTAGTGTCTAAGCAGCATTTACATGCTACTGCCCCCCACAGTGGTTTGGTGCATTAATTGATTATATAGCTAAAGCTGAATTAATGCACTAAGCACCTCTCTAAAATGTACTAATATAAAAAAACATCTTTTGTTACATTTTGTTCACCAAATGATCAGAAACCACATGTTCAGTGAGATGGTGCTGGAGCAGTTGTACTGTTGGAAGGAGTGTTTATCAAGACTGAAAACCAATGGAAAAGCAAGAGCCAATCAATCAAACAAAGCAAAAGAGTTTCACAAGAATCAAATCCTGCATAAATTAAGAACCTTGAGGCTGATGCAGTGATGCTGGAAACAGCAGAAGGAAGAGCAAAACGAACTTAACAGTCGCCTCAATTAAAAGAGAAGGAACTCCAAATTAAAGTTAGATCAATAAAATAACACTACTGATAAAAAAACTCGTCCATGTGTATATGAGGCATAAGCTTAAAATTAACAAGGACACGAACAGAGAATCAGAGAGATAGATGCTCCAACCTGTTCATCGATCTTGTCTTGGTTAATTACAGCCATGAAGAATCGGAAATCGACAATATATGATCTAGATTTACAGGAGATCCCATGAGTCCAAGGTGGGGAAGCCACCACCACAGTTGCCGCTGCTGCTACTGCTGCTGTTGTTGCTGTAACTATTACCTGCTCCTCCTACCAACGCCACCGACACGTCGCACGGCGCGGCCGCGGCCGTCGGCTCCGCGCGGCGGCCGAGCAGGAACGCCGAGGTGTCGAGCGTGGGAAGCATCAGCGCGCCTGCAGGGCCGGGCGAGCCCGCTGGAGCGGCGTGGCGGAGGAGCTCCGTCGTCGTCGGCGAGAGAGATGGAGGAGGTGGAGGCGGGAGGTCGTCGGCGCCGGTGACCTGGTGCACCATGCGGCGGAAGTTGGCCGGATCGGCGCTGATGTAGGTGGTGGGCAGGCGCCGCGACGGGCGCGGCCGGCGCTTGGCGATGCGGCGGCTGGTGCTGGCGGCGGCGGCGGCGCCGCGGAAGTGGCGGTGGAGAGTGGCGGCGGACGGCGGGGGAGGCATGAGGTCGGGAGGAAGCCAAGGGGAGGAGGAGGTGGAGGAGTCGAGCATGTGCATGGCGGCGGTGAGCATCGACGATCGGTGGATGCTCTGCTGCGAGTGTTGCGCGCGGCGAACTTGACAGGGGATGGACGGACGGTTGAGGGGAGACAGGGGGGTGGCCTATATATGGACAACTTTTTTCTTATTTTTATTAGTTTCAAATAAATTTAGAAATAACCCTTGATATTTTTCTTCTTAGGAAATGAATCTTTTAGGTATGGTTTGGATACCATACCAGTGTTCAATAAAATAATATAAATATAATGATAAATTATGTCATCAAAATTTCATATGCAAATAAATTTAGAAAATAATAGTAATTACAGAGAAAAAATGATTATCATGAAAAAAAACTCATCTGTCTTTACTCTTTCTTACATGAAAATGATACATGTAAAAAAAAACTTGCAAACTTTTTATAAAAACTACGTGGCAAATTGTGACTTCATTTTGACTTTTATTAACTACCAATCGGCTAGATCAAATGGTTGAGATCTTCCTTTGTAAGAGTTTTGTAAAAAGAAAAATTAGTATGTATAAACCTTACTTTTTCTTAAAATTATCAGGGTTTAACCTTATCTAGGAAAATGGAAATACATTGCCAATACTTAAACTTTAGCAGATGTGCCTAAACTTAAAAATTGCATGTTCAGTTCTACCATCTTAATTTAATGAACCACAACAGTCCAAACCTCGTTTGAACAAAGTTGACCAATGATGTGGCGCTCCATTTAGGCAATAATTTTCCATCCACCCTCCACCGTGTCATAGCGTGGCGCCGTGGCGGTAATTTTGCTTTTGGACCCCTCCCATACAAACTACACAGAATCCCCCCAAATCCCTCCCAGTCCCATTCTCCCCTAATACGAAGATTGCGAGGGAGAGTGGCAAGTGAGTGTGCGACATTACCCTCGCTGTCATAACTCTAGCCATCGGGGAGAAGACAATGGAGATAGAGATTTAGAGCATTTGGGGGTGCTTTGGGGTAAGAGGGGGCCACACTATGATGCGGAAGAGAGCGGATACAAAATTGTTGCCTACATGGAGCGCCATGTCATCAGTAAGCTCTCGTCAAACGAGTTTTGGACCTATCGTAGTTCATTAAACCAAGATGATGAATTTAAACATGCAATTTTGAAATTTTAGTTGACCTAAGTGACAACTCCGCTCAAGTTTAAGGACCAATCATATATTTTACTTGTAGAAAAATCTTTTAAAAAAGAAATTCATATATAGATGGGGATTTGGCATCAAACTATTTTTTTCTGAAGCAAAACGATCTTTTAGTTGCCTCATTAAATGTGGCATGGTAATCAACAAGAGTGGCTGTACATGTTAGCTAGCTAGGTGTTGAAACGTAATTTAATTTTGCTTCAACCTCAAGTGATCATATTACAAGAGTTTGGTATGTTGTTGGACTAATCCACAACATGACAACAACGATATGATTGCATTCAGGTCTGATATCACCAGATAATTAACGAGTGAAAAGAGAGAATGATCGATAATATGTGTTCTTAGTTGTCTACAAATAGTATAGTACTACGTACATGCTTATTTGTACCTAACTTAATAATTACTAATTATTAATGAACTGAAATCCTAGCTAGTCCTATACTAATCGTTTCTGGAATTTCAAACACGATCTAATCGCTCCTCAGATAGTACAATATGGACGGATCATCAACTGTGTACAATTTGATTGGAGAATACACATGTACCATTGAACAATACAAACAAATTAAGAACATGTGCTTACGTACGTACGTACACGTGGACGTACAGAATTTGCGAATCAAAATTGACCAATTAAACTAGGTGTGATCTCGCGTGCATGCAAGCTAACGCACGCTCGTGCCCATAGTTTTGATGTGTCGTCAGATCAGAATCGCGTGCCCTGTTCCAAACTACGTACAGAGTACATGGTGATATTTCGCTCAATTCAAACATTGATTCATTACATTATATATATTTTTCCCAATTCATCTGTTTAATTAATTAGGTTAATTTTGACCGTGTTTGTATATAACGGTCAGTACTAACTTGTAGTAGTCCATATCATACATGCAATTAATTAACCTAATTAAATCTTGACCTGGCATGAATCAGAGTAAGCGCACAAGACGAATGAAATGGACGCTTTCAGTTTCATCAATATTTCGAAATCAAATGATGTAACATTAATCCATCATTTTTCTTGTACAGAAACCAACAAAGGAAAGGTTTGGCAAGCTCATTTCTTTGCTTTGTTTATGTTGTTGGCAAATGTGAAAATGGTTGGGTGTAAGCTGAGACTTTTCATCACCAGGTCAATGTCAGGTACTTGTAGGCTGTTGGCTTTGCGGCTTGCTTGACTCCTCTTTTGAGTTTTGACTAGCTCGTGCTGTTGGACAATACTACACTCCTACATCGTCAAGTCAAGCACACATGTGAGTAGTATCCTCAAATCGTTTTGGACTGTTTAATTTCGATAACATAGTCTTACTAGTAGCAAATATGCCACAGCTAGTGCATGTTCTGAATCATTCGGTTGTGCTGAAACAGTATGCTACGGCATGCTCCAAATGCATGCAAGAGATTGTGGCTGGACTTTCACTGGTATACATGTCAGACGGTTGTGCTGAATTTATTAAGCCTAATTAATTTATAATTAGCAAATATTTACTGTAGTATCACATTATCAAATCATGGTGCAATTAGGCTCAAAAGATTTGTCTCGCAATTTACATGCAAACTGTGTAATTGGTTTTTTTTTTCCACATTTAATGCTCCATATATATGTCTAAATATTTGATGTTATATTTTTGGCCAAATTTTTTTTATTTAAACACACCTTAAGAGTTCTTTCTGTCTTGTCTGTCTAGATTGATCCTTCTTTTTCTGAAAATTTGACTGGAGGCATGCATTTTCTGAAACTTTAAAAGTTCTTTCTGCTACAACAGTACTGTCCTGTCTGTCTAGAATGATGATGATGTAATGCTAATCAAAATTGAGGTCCAAGCAACTTGGAATACTGGCTGGAATCATTGATCAAAAATTATGGAAATACCTGACTCTAGTCTAGCACACAGTCTTCAGAGAGGAAATTCAACAGTTGGTAGTAGTAAACATCTCGAACGTGTAGTGCGAGGAAGTGCAAGGACAAATGGTCTGCACTGCAGTGCTACACCTGCTGAAATCTGAAGCGAAAACGGAGCCACGTACGTACGTGTATCACACCGATTCAACTGGTGAAATCAAGCAAAAAAATGTCTTCCTGAGCTCACCATACAACACGCTACTGTCTCTAGTGAAGAGAGTCAACTAATACGTGAGTCAAATGGCCGGTTCCTGCCTGTTTTGATCGATTGGTTCGGATATCTCTTTCACTTCTCCACCATTCAAGATGGCACACATGCATGATCATTAATTAGCAGCTAGCATTACGTGGACAATTTGCACGCACTTGGTTTCCGTGTTGCTTTGTTAGAGCATGTAAGAGCAGATACAATAGCAGGTTATAAGCTAGCTGCAAACATATTTTAAGAAGATAAATAAGAAGAGAGAAGGGTAGCGGGCTACAGATTTGTAGTCAGCTGTAGCACGGACTCGAAGACACGGTGTGTGTATGACAGATGGGACCATGTATTAATTGTGTAGTATGTAACTATTGTATGAATGAGCTATTAGATTGGCTATAGATGAATTGGAGCTAGTACTTGGCTATACTATTGAACTTGCTCTAAAATAGCAAGCTATAAACCAGCTATAACCACATATCGAGAAGAAAAGACAAGAGAGAAAAAAGCATGCTACATATTTATAGCCGGCTACAACACAGACTTCAAGACGTTATGTGTGTATGAGAGGCGGGACCGGGTAGTAATAGTGTAGTATATTTTTATAGCTAACCATTGTACGAATGAGCTATTAGATTATAAAAGAGGAGACTACAAAACGGCATTATTATACCGCTCCAACGAAAATAACTAATGTAGCATGACGTCAGTATGATATTTATATATATCGGATTTGATATCTTCAGTATTAAACGTGGTACACGTAGAGACTAGATCACCTAGATATCATATTGATATTATCAGAACACCTAGATATCATATTGATATTATCAGAACGTCAGCTATTCCGTTGGAACGGTGTAAGTATCATTTTTGTTTGCGAAAAACGTAGTGCAATCAATCCACTAGTTTTTGTTGTCAACAGTAGTGCAACTGTACTTCGTGTTTCTGTCAGAATATAGAACAAGTCTTGAATCACATTGGTACCGAAAGAAAGACTTGGTCCCCCAGGTGAATAGCAGATGATGAGAGAGAGAGAGAGAGCATATGGTTCCGAATCATAAGTCTAGTTGATTGTCCTTGTTAGGCTTACTGATCGTAATATTCCACTTTCAATTTCCACACACCTTGCTAGTTTTTTTTTTTTTTCTAAAAGACCTTGCTATGCTGCTCAAGCACAGGCGCACAGCGAGTTCCAAGGTGGCGGCCCAGTCACGGCACGGCCCATGGGCTTTCGTGCCCGTGCCGTGTTGGGCCCTGCTACAGTTCCACCGTGCCGGCCCATTTGGCCAGCACTCGCCAGTGACGCCTCCGCGGCTCCGCCGCTTCCGTAGCCGGCTCGCCGCATCCTCGGCCGCCACCACCTCCTCCTCCCTCCTCTCCGGCTCCGCCGTCGCTTCCCCTTCTCTCCAAAGCGCCCCTCGTCTCTCCACCTACCGTCCCGACGATGAATCGGGAGGACGGCGCCAATGCCCGGAATATGCAGAGGTTGTGAGGCAGCGACTGGCTCACAACCTCTGCATATGTGTAGGATGAGGTGATGCGGCATTGTGGCTGCAGGTGCTGCCGCTGCCGCTGGCGCCGGCAGGCGGGCCCCCCTCGTCGTCGAGATCCAGCCCCCTGTGCTCCGCGCCTCCGCCGCTCCAGCCTGCACTGGACAACGCCCCCGCCGCGGCCTTTTGCTTGCTCCCGATGCTGACATCACGTTTTGCCTGATATATGTTTGCTCACTGGGAAGCTCATCATCCCAGACTTCAGCAATGACTGCATATTTCATATCTGTGTTCATCTGCAAATTGTTCGTTAACAGGACAGATTGATTAAGTTTTCTCCCTTATTTCACTGGTAATTTTTGCTTGCAGGGCGTCGTGGACAAAATATGGTAAACTCGCGTGCAGCACGCGTGACAGCCTGACAGGGGGGTCAAGAGTGCGTGTAAACATGTGATCAAGTTGCACGGCCGCAAAGTTTGACGCTTGATTAGTACTGCTACTTTGTATCTTCACGGCATTGGGATGCTTGGTGTTCAGTGTTCGTCATCGAAGATGAAGTGCATTTTAAACTTTTGCATGCTCTCCTATGTTTAGTCGATATACCATCAACCTACTAGCTGCCCAATCTGTGCGCACAAACAAGACCACCAACTGACTGAGCCAGCGAGCATGGAGTTGGGGACGGGGCGATAGGGAGCCTTCTCCCCAAGCTGGTTGAGGTACTCAAGGAGGAGTACGACTTGCACAAAGGCGTGAGGAAGAAGATCAAGCATCTCTCACAGGAGCTGGAGAGCATGAATGCTGTCCTCCTCAAGGTCGGTGAGGTGCCTCCAGACCAGCTCGACGAGCTGGTCAAGCTCTGGGCAGGGGATGTCAGGGAGCTGTCCTACGACATGGAGGACGTCGTCGACGCTTTCTTGGTGCACATCGATGGTCCTGAGCCTCTTGACACACACATGCTCAGGCGCTTCCGGAAGAAGATGGCTAATTTCTTCAACAAGTGCAAGCATCACCATAAGATCGCTGGAGCTATCCAAGACGTGAACAAGAAAGTCGAGGAGGTGGCTGCAAGGCGTGACAGGTACATGGTGGACAACATTATCGCCAAGGTTACAGGTCCTGTTACCATCGATCCTCGCCTTCAGGCGCTATACAAAAAGACGACAGAGCTTGTTGGCATTGAAAAGCAGAGTGAAAAGCTCGTAAAGATATTATCCCTTGGGGATGATGTTCATGCCTCCGACGAGAAAATGAAGATTGTCTCTATTGTTGGATTTGGAGGACTCGGCAAAACCACTCTTTCCAAAGCAGTATATGACAAACATAAACTGGCATTTGACTGTGGGGCTTTTGTTCCGGTTGGTCGGGATCCTGACATGAAGAAAGTCTTGAGGGATATTCTTATTGATTTTGACTACATGAATCCAAATGTGATGATATTGGATGAAAGGCAGCTCATCAACGAACTACGGAAACTCATCCAGAACAAGAGGTATGAACATCTACGTATTCATCAGCAGTTCAGCATGTGAATTTTGTTTTAGTACCTGAACATATAAGACCTCACCTTCAATGTTGCATCGCCCTTTTTGTAGGGGCATGTTTGTATACAGAAAGCACAAATGCTTATGCTTGCTTTTGACCAAGATTCGTGTAGAAAAAGTTAACCCAAAGTGCTACAATTATATCATAAAGCATTGTAAGGTAGCACAAACATATCTAAATTTACCGAGGCAGGACTACCACTACAATAGAATAATTGGGTCACGCACAGCCTAAACTTGAATGTACACATGAGCAGATGAGCTGAAATAAGAATATTAATGGGCTGGTGCATTATAGCATATTATTTATGTTGTCAATGCGCATGGTCATGAACAATTGTTTGAGAAAATCATTTGGGTATGACATATTAGGCTATAAAGCAAAATGCATCCAAAGGTAACTGAGGCACAGTCAAGTTGATTGGACAAGAACATTGAGAATATGATTGATATCTATTATAGTTATAGATTAAGGTCTAGTTCGTTTTATCTGATAGATCGTGGATGATATGCGGCATATGCTTTCTAAGCTGATATACAGTATGGCTATTATAAAGAGTTTCTTCCATCAACATTGTTTAAAAAAAGTTGTATACAACTTGTAACTTTATAATATTTGATTTATTCACACTAGATCGACTTTCTACAAATTGTTGATTTATAGTGGCATTTTCGTGTGTTCTTTCAAATGGTTGCCACGGTGCCACCTTGGTGTTATTCTTGTTTTTTACATTCTTCCCACTAGGCATGGTTACTAACTTATGTTATTGTACTGTGATGTGGATGCATAGGTTTTTGTTTGTTATTGATGACATATGGGATAAGAAATCATGGGAATTGATCAGATGTGCTCTGCAACATAGTAATTGTGGAGGTAGAGTAGTGGTAACTACTCGTATTTTTGAAGTCGCCACGCATATCGGTGATATTTACAAAATGCAACCACTTTCTCGTGATGACTCTGAAATATTATTATATTCTAGAATAAATGATGGTGAAGACAGATTCCTAGACAGTCTTTCAACTGAGGCATGTGATAAAATTTTGAAAAAATGTGGTGGTGTGCCATTAGCTATCATCACAATAGCTAGTTTGTTGGCAAGTAAATCAGGGGAGGACTGGTCTAATGTGTACAATTCTATTGGTTTTGGTGAAAGAGGCAATGACATTGTAGAGAATACTCGAAGAATACTGTCTTTTAGTTACTATGACCTTCCTTCACATCTAAAGGCTTGCATGCTGTATCTGAGTCTATTTCGGGAAGAATATGGGATCGAGAAAAATCTTTTGATATGGAAGTGGATAGCTGAAGGTTTTATCCAGAATGAACATGCAACGGGGATAGGATTATTTGAGCTTGGGGAAGGGTACTTCAACGAGCTAATAAATAGAAGCATGATCCAACCGATGGAGTTAGAAGATAATGGGTATGTATATGGTTGTCGTGTGCATGATATGGTGCTTGATCTGGTCTGTTCGTTATCGAGTGAAGAAAAGTTCGCCACTATATTGGACAGCGATGACCAACAAAAACAACTTATGGTGGGTAGCAATGCTCGCAGGTTGGCTGTGCACGGTAGGAGTGTTGAAGAGCACAACCACCCTCAGCTGGTTAATGTGGGTTTGGAGAAAGTGAGGTCCTTCAGTGCCACTCAGTGCGGCGATATTAATGTGGTAACATCATACTTTCGAGTTCTACGCGTTTTAACTTTGGAGGATTGTAGTGTTACTGGGGAAGCTTGTGGAAAACATAGATTAGAGCATGTAGGGAATTTACGCCACCTGAGATATCTGGGGATTTGGAATACACGTATTGATGAGTTCCCCAAGGAAGTAGGAGATCTCAAGTTTCTACAAACGCTGAATTTGTCAGGTACTGGAATACAACAGCTCCCGGAGGCTGTGGGCCTTTTGAAACAACTGTTGTGCCTACGTATCAATGACAGTATAGCAGTTCCAGCTGGTTTGATCGGGAATCTTACTTCATTGCAAGAGCTGAAGATATGGCCGGTTGATGATGTCTCAACAAGGCAGTTTGTGAAGGAGCTGGGCAAGCTGAGGGAGCTAAGGATTCTCCGGTGTACCATTCATATTAGCGATGAGGGCATGGAGAGAGATTTGCTAGAATCGCTAGCAAATCTGCACAAGATCCGCACTTTGTGTATTTTGGGCTCAGCATTACCGAGCGGCATCACACGGGAAGCATGTTTTGTGACCCCTCAGCGCCTTGGACAGCTGTGCTTGGAATGCTTCAAGTTCTCTGGACTACCAGTATGGATCAACTCTTCACTTCTTTTGAACCTCACCCATCTAGATGTGTCAGTGCATGTGGTGCAAGAACAGGACATGGAAACCCTTGGGAGGCTACCAGAGCTCTGTTATCTCAAACTGTGTTCAGATTACACCAGGCTAGTAAGCATAAGGAATGGTGATCTGCAACGCTACTTATTTCGGAAATTGAGATTCTTTGTTTCTCCCTTTTTATTTGCCCGGTTTGATGATTTGCACGGCCGTGAAAACGACGGCGGCATATGCATAGCAGTAGCACCTTCCATCATGATGCCAAGCCTTGAATCCCTTGTGTTTTGTGTCTACGTACGGTTCCTAAAAGATATGGTGGAAATGCAGCCTGGCTTTGACAATCTGCATATGCAGCTTGGCTTTGAAAAAGTTGCTAGCAGTTCGCTCCAGAGGGTCACTGCAACGATCCAATGTGAGGATGCTACTGCTGCTGCGGAGGTGGAGGAAGCGAAGACAGCATTGGCGCATGCAGCTGACCTCCATCCCAACCGTCCCACCCTTACAACTCAAATGGTGAACAAGCATAAGATGCTCTCATCCGACCGAGAGCTACGAGTGTGAAGCAGAGGAGATGATGGAGAACTGGCGGAGAGAATCTAGGAGCAGGAGAGCAAGGATACCAGCTCTGCTTTCCCCTGATGGTTACCCTGCAAAAGCAAGCATACATGTTGCATTGCTTCTGTATCAATTCTGTGAGACAATTTAGTTGATTCTCTGAACAGAGTCAGCTAAGTGCCAAATGCCCGGTTCCAGCCTGTGTTTGATCGATTGACGATTGGTTCGGATATCTCCTTCACTTTTCCTGAACTCCATCCACGATTCAAGATGTCAAATGCATATAATCATTAATTAGCAGCTAGCATTACGTGGACAATGTGCTTCAAGATGCATTTCGTTTTCGCGTTTCTTGTATATTTTTGTCAGCGGGCTATCTTTGTCAAAACGTTATGCAGTTACTCCACCGGTCTGTGTTATGAACAGCGGTGTGACTGTACTTGTTCATCCCTTCCTGTTTGTGTTTCTGTCAGGATATCGAACAAGTTCTGAATCACATTGGTACTGAAAGAGACTAGACTTAGGCCCCCAGCTGAATAGTAGACAAGACCATATATGGTTCGCATGTATTAACTTTTAATTACTTCTTCTAATAGAATGACGTACAATCGAATTGCCAGTTTGATGAAAAAAATATGGTTTAGAAGTGAGGTTGATTGTCCTTGTTAATTAGGTTTACTGATCCACTGTCTATCGGTAGTCCACTTCCAAGTAACTGAATCATATTGTGTACTCAGGCTAATGGTCCCAATCTCGTCCGGAGTCTGAATATTTCATGAAAATCTCCTGCAACATTGACAGTGAAACCTGAAATCAGTTATGTATACTGAACGTATGCCTATGGGCATGTCTGTAAACCGTAACCGCCACCTGAAGAAATCAAATTCAGAAGACATACATTATTAGTCATTCGAATTCAGAAGGCAGATTGATAGTAGTATTATCGGACAACAATGGAGGAGGCGGCGATCAAAGATGTGTTCTGTAGATGGAGTTGATAAACGGGGGGATCCAAATAGATGGAGAAGAAAACTCCGACCCCTAGGATCTCCGTGAGACGTCCGATTAAGGATTTGCGGCACAGATTAGATGGGTAAATACATTGGGTGCACTTCTCTTTTTGGGCCTCAGAAATCTCGATCCGGCTTTTGGGCCTGAATGTTTAAACGGGCCAACTTTGCAAAACAGTTATGCTGGGGACCCGACCCAACAAGCGAGCGGCGGCGTCGCCTTCGCTTCCAACTCCGGCGGCCGGGGCAACGACGGCGGCGGAAACAGCCGGGGCATCGGGAGGAGGCTGCGGAGGTGTACGCCCATGGATGGATTCAACGGAATCGCAACACGGGGAGGTCAAGGACAAGTTTTTCGAGAAACCAACATGCAAACTTCTCCTCTCCTCGACCCGAGATTTCCACCCCTCTGCTGGTTGCTTCCTCGCATACTGCAAAGTTCCGGTAATAAGTCTTCTTCTTCTTCTTCTTCATCATCCTCTTCCTCCACCTTGGGGTTCCAATGTACCATAGCTTTGACAAGAGGCGTTTCGCTGCTGACTCGCCGAGTTGTTGATTGGGATCTTTCCTGTGTTCTTGAGGAAATGAGGAGGGCAATAGGTTCAGTTGCGGTAAAATTCCAATATTGGGTAGTTCCGGTAATTCCCTTGCTCCACCATGTGTTGCAGCTGCTGCTTTGGCTCGTCAGATTCTCTAGTGGCTAGTGCCACCCGACTGAAATCTCATGAATTCACTGCCGAATTTACAAGTTTTGGCCATAAGTTCGCAGTTGTTTCCATGGCTGCAAGATCGGGTTCAGTAGCACTGGCGAAAGGGGCGAAAGACTCAAAATGGAGGTAAAATCTGTTTCTTTGATCTGTATAAGTTTGTGTCCGGTTTGGAGTCCATAAAGTGAGCCCTCAGGTTGATATCAGATTAACATAGTACAGATGTACGGCAAATTGTTTACTTACAACTTTTGTGGTCCATAAACGTGCTTTCTTTATTGTACAGCTGATCACTAAAATGAGCTGAGTTGTGTAGTCCCTTTTTCTTTCTTTATCACTATTCACTTGTGCTTTTTTTAATATATATATAGCAGTCACTCGCATGCATTGATCCATACAGGCTCTCTCCCCACAGAAAAAAAGTTGAGCACATTATGTGCTATCATTGTACTTGTGCCGTGCTTATGAGAACATGTTCAAAGGAAGAGCTCAGCTTGTGCCTGTAAATTCAGTCTGGAAGCTGAAAACAAGATGGATGAGCTTCTACGGGTACAGAGGGAGCTTCTACGATTTCAGTTACTGCTATCCAAGCATTTCCACCGATGGAGAAATATTGACATCTAACTTGTTTCAGGCACAGTAATAGCTTTGACAGGTCAGGTAAAATAGCCAGATTCTAGAGGGAGTGAAGACTGTGCAACGAATGAGGTGAAACTTAAAAGTGAGAGTGACAGCTAAAGATACCAAGATTGCTCTCCACTTTCCCTACAAAACTTCTCTCATGGTGGTACTCCAAAGCAAAGAATCCTAGAAAAAAAGGGCGCAAGCACAGCACTGCAGCTTCCTATCTCCTTTATTTGGTCTTCCATTGCTTCTTGTTGCTGAGGTTGCCTTCCTATTGCCCCCTTCCCTTTTCCACTCTTCTACTAACACTTGCTTCAGGCTACTGAGGGCTTTGGCTTCTCGGTGTTGTCGCTACAGGTGAGCTTGGCATTCTGTGCATTTTTGCGTTCTACTGCTAATCTGGTCTTGTGCTAAGCTCCACTATTAGCCTCTTGTGTGGTCATAGGTGGCTCCTAATTTAGCTTCTTGTGTGAATCTGATGTCCAATCTTTTTCTAAATGATCTGTAAATTCGCTTTGATTTTGGTCTGATTAGATTATTTTGTTTATTTCTTTGTTACTTTCCTCTCTTTTATGGGTTGATAGTATACAATTATAGCCCAAAAATACTGTTGAATTCAGAGATCTTCATTGTGATAACTGACTGATCATTTAAAGAGATGGTGCTTTTCCACCTACCTGTTGAATGTTAAACCATTACAGATGATTTTTTTTTTGAACATGCAATTTCTATAGATCTCTAACTAAGGAAGCTGGAATGTCACCTTATTTGAGCAGTTTGATTGTATTGCACATTATTAAACTTGTGTTTCAAGTATAAATCTTTTTTTTTTCGCCGGGCCGGCGTAAGATACGCGGCCGAAGTTTATTAAGATTGGGAAGAGGTTCAAACTAGTACAACAATTACAGCTGCCATGGAGGCTAGAGCTGTACGGCCGCTATTGTTCAAGTATAAATCTTTACTTGTTTGAATATTCACCATAATGTTATAGTGATGAATTGCTTCTCTCTTTCCTATTTCCAGGCCAACGTTTTATCTGAGGGTAAAATTCAAGAAGATATATATGGCTTTTGGTGCAAATGACATTGTGTTGCATATCAAGAGACTAATGTATTCATCTGTCAGAATTGGATATCAATTTGCTTGTGATTACCCTATAGTACTAGCTGCTGGCGTTTTGTTGCTGTTTCTACACAGGCTTTGCCCTTCTCTATTCAACTTCTTGCTGTCTTCATCTCCAGTCTTCCTGTTAACTGCACTTCTGCTTGGAGCACTTTTGAGTTATGGTGAACCTGCTGTTCTTGTTCTTGGAGAGAATCAACAAACTTTGTCCTTTAAATCCAAGATTTCCATTACTGACTGTTCGATTGACAAGGTTGAGACTGTTGCTGTCGAGGAGCACTTGGATAAAACAACTACCAGTAATGAAGTATATGTCAGGGAAAGAAATTTTGAGGGTAATATACATGACACTCACTGGGAAGAGAAAAATGGCACCTACATGACAGTTGATACCGCTCTAAATGACGAAATACATACGAAGGATGGAACTTCTGATTATGATTTGCAGGATACCCACCGTGAAGGAAAAGGTATCACATCAGTGGAAACTGATACTGTTCCTTGTGTGGCGCCTTCAAGTTTTGCCTACAGTGGTGTAACTGTGGAAACTGAAGACGTTGGGGAGAACAGCAAGAAGAATGATGAGCTGCAAGAACTTGGAAGCATCAATCCTGAAAGTGATAACAATAAAGTACAATATCAATATCAGTTAGGTGAGTTTATGAGTTCATGTTGGGAACCTGTTATGAGACAGGAGCCACAGGATGCTTGTTCTGATTCTGAATCTGATCTTACTGAGAGTTCTCCTGATGCATCAATGACTGACATTATTCCAATGCTTGAAGAGTTGCACCCATTAATAGACTTGCAAACTGGCCACCCTTCATTGGTCTCCAGAGACAACTTGAATACTTCTTCGGATGATGATGAAGATGATCTTGAGGAGGAGGATGCTAGCACAGATGAAAATCAATTGGAAGGGAAAATAGATGATTTTGCTAACTGGAAGGATGTTATTGATCTAAATTACTTGGATATGGACAATAATAGCAAGCTGGAGGGTATGATGGATCTGCAAAGAGCAAAGAACATTCTGAAATTTGAACTTGACAGGAGGTTAATGGACTTGCAAGCAGCTGATGCAGTACAGAAAATGGAGGAGGCATCACGCTTCCGTGTGCAGGTTCCCTCCATTTCCACTGGAAGGCAGAACCCATTTGATTCTTCAAATGGCTCAGATGAAATAATAGAGTTACCACATGTTCCTGATTCAGCACCGTCTTGTCTCCTTCCACGGAAAAATCTATTTGATCTTTGCAGTCAACCAAAATATGGCCCACGATAGTCCATTGCAAGAAACTTGGACTCCTCTTTCGTACTTTTCAGCAAGACGGCATAGAAAGCATGGAAACTTATATGTTAGGCACTCTACTAGCCTGCATCACAATAGCTTCAAACTGGAGAAAGATGAAATAAGTGAAAATGATGCCCATAATAGTCAGTCAGACTGTGATGCCAAGCAAGAAGGGAACAACAGCAAGTTATTTGGTTCACTGGAAGCACATATAGGTGAAGAAATCAAAATATTAGGCGCAGCAATTTCAGATGTGGGTGTATTAGAAGTAAATTCTGGAATGGATAGTGGTAACCAAAATGCTGATTTCAGTGATGATATCAGTTTATCTCCTATCCAGAAGTCTAGACAAAGCACTTTCGAAGCTAAGGAAGCAGTACATGCAGGTAAAACTGTTTTTTAACCCTAAGTAATGTATTGCAATTTGCCTACTGGAAATGATAACTCAACTGAAGTTGATGTCATGCAGGTATTGAGCAATTAACATCGTGCTCCCCTTACAAGGTAAATAATTTTGAGGCACATATTGTTGAAGCAGACTCCATTGATGAATTTAACTCATTGTTTAAGTGCCGTATGGAGGAAGTACTAGTGCAATCCATCTCAGAGTCCAGTATCAGTCAACCCTTGACAGTTAAACTTGAAGATGAATTGAGTGAACCATTATCTTCAGACTCTGGGACCGGGACACATTTCATTGACGGGAGTTCAGTTGAAGATTCGGATCCACAATTTGCACAGCTCAAGGATGAAGCACTGGTATCTGCTACTTCTAACGCAACATGTCGTAATGAGTCAATTGAAGAGAAATCAAGTGAAGCATTACTGGCAGGAAACGAAGATTATTCAGAACTGCCAAATGAACTGTTAAAATCAGGAGATCCACAGTTTGCAGATAGTTCTGAGATTCAAATGCAGGTTATTGAGGCTACAGGTCACTGAATCATCACAAGGGCCTAAAACAAGGCCAAACAGCCAATTTCTCAGAGAGATCTGTAAAGCATAGATGTCCTGTCTTAGCTCTCTGAACAGGTTTCTGCCCCCCTTTGTTCCAACTTACTCTATGGCGTCTGGATTTAACTATTCCTCTTCTTAATACAAAATGTGCAGCAATCATGCTGTTTTTCCTCCAAAAACTTTTCTCAGGAAGTCCGCAATGTCAGAAATATCCAAGGAACAGTGGATGTACATATGGTTTCTGCTTATTTCTTCTCTTTTGTTTCTGCTTATTTGCTTTCGGTTTTGGGCTAATAGGTTAGTAGATAGGAGAGTAGATGACATTGATATGAAACACCAGTTGCAGTTGGGTGTGATATCCATTCAGTCAAGCCGGTCTTTCTTTCGCTGCCTATGGAGTATTAATTTTTCTTGTCTGCCAGACAGGCATTGGCAACCCCTGATCATCACTTTGTTTCAGTAAATAAGATGATTGGATGTCTGTTTGCCTGTTGGTAAACCGCTGGACTGGAGTTGCAGCTTCTGCAGTTTGCTTCTTCAACAGTTATCCTGTCAGTAATCATTGAGTAATCAAGTAATGCTTTCACAGATTTTTTTTTAACACCTCCTCATGCTCATTATCTGCTTGCTGTTGGTGGTTTCATTAAGAAAATCACAGTTCCTTGATTAAAAAATTCATAGTCCTTTACATTACATACATGATGCATTGATGCTTATGTTGGGTATACTGATCTGAATCTGAGGCGTGCTTTGTTGGGATAATTGAAGATACGCTACTCCCCTAGAACCATTTTCAGGAAATCACTCCTTTAGCTTGACCTTGCTAAAATGAATTGTTTGCATGATACTAACAAATAGATGAATCTTTGGTGTAGAATCGCAGTGATGAATAAATCTATTTTTTTTCATCTGTTTGTAGAGCCATCTTACAGATGAGAGCGTGGTATTCTTCGACTGTTATTCTGTTAAACAAATAAAAAAACTTAAGAGTGAAGTACATGGGCACACCTAAACTTAAGAGTGAAATAAAAAAACTTACAGAAGACACACCTACATCTAGGTTCCTGAACTCGCAAAATACATTTTTAGGTCCCTAAACTTGTCATGTGTGTCACATAAGTCCTAACGGATTCAAACCCGCTCCATGCGCTGACGTGGCATTGCCACGGTGGCACCTACATGTCGAGCATATATAAAAAATAAAATTAAAAACCATATTTTCTCCTCGTAGGTAAACAGAAAAAAGAAAAAAAATTCTAATGTAGAGAGGAGAAAATATGTATTTTTAAAATTTTTTTCTATGTGACTAACACGTGAGTCCGACTAACACAAAGATGCTATCGTGACATGCCACATCGGCACGTGGAACGGGTTAGAGCTCGTTTGGACCTTGATGATATCTCAAGACAAGTTCGGGGACTCGAAAATGTATTTTAGTTTAGGTTAGGGACCGCTCATGCATTTCACTCAAAAGTTAAATATGTACCGAACATAGGGTCAAACATTTGACAACTACCCAACACACAGAAATATCGTTATTTTCAAAATCACTTCAAAGTTGACCAAGACACCTTCAGCAGTACACGGGCGCCACCAAGTTTAAGCTCTTTCATGTCATATCCATGTCTTCTAGCTTTGAATGGGCAATATTCAGAGACACGATACGAGCCATCCCCCTGATCAACCTTGAAGACCAATGGACAGTATTTAGGGATATCATAATCCGAGCCATCCCTATGAACAGCCTTGAAGATTAAAAACAAAGGTGTATTCTCCACCACAGCAACTACAAACCTATCCAGGTCACATGGCTTGGAAATGACACCATCAAAGAGCCGAATCTTTTCAGGAATTTGACCGATATAGGAATATAAAGATAAGCTTAAGCCATTGTCATGCACTTGTGATATGCTAACTTGTATTGTGGCCTCCACTGCTTCGTGGAAAAGGGCTCGACTAATGTCGACCGCATCACAATCACCTTCAATCCGTTGCGTAAACACTCTATCGGGAAGCACGAATTCGCTGCAGATGATGGCACCATCGATGAGCTGAAAATCATCGTCTTGTGTCTCTCCGTTCTTGATCTTCATGTCAAACTCGATGAGCACACGAACTTGGTTTCCAATGCCTCTCTTGGGGCCTGACATTGGTATCAATGAATTATCCGAATCAACGCCATTGTCTTATCCCATGATGAAAGGGTCATCCCTGGTGCGGTTGAAGATGTAGTTGCGTAGCGGGTCCAAATGATCCCGGACAGCAAAGTATCCATACAAGTGAACTGGGCCATCAACAGCAGCAGTGATATTGGATAGCTTGAGCGAGAATATCTGCATCATGAATTGCACACTGTGCGCCTTGCAAGCCCACATGTGTGGCCGGCAATTGGTTGGGTTTGACAGCATCATTGCCTCCATACGAGCTGAACAGCCAGCCATACACGTCAGTGGATGACAGTAAGTTAGATTGTTAACCCCAATATTGAAATGAGCAGGAAAGAAACAAATAGATACAAATAAGGTTTAAAACAGCAAACTCCGCACTATCATGGACCCAAAGCAATATATACAATATACTAGATGGTGCCTTTAAGAGTTTTTTGAAGTAGTACTTAAGGAATATCTAGTGTTACTTAGAACTAGATTATGTTATGAAAGGTCTAAATTTGACATCAAGCTAGACAGATATGTTATGAAAAAAAAGGGTTTAATTTGACATCAGTTCCATAGTACTGAGCATACACAGGAACAAATTAGATTTTTTTTTATTATTTTTTTTCCGTGCTGACCAAAGACCCCTCAGTCCATATTTCCTTACGATTGAGAATATGTACAAATTTACAAGTTTAGAATTCTGACAAGATGATATCGAAACTGAATGGAGTATGCCGGAGCGCCCTCCCAAAACCAAAATAAAAGGGATTGCATCTCTATTCTTACTCTCCTAAGTTTTTAAAGACTCCTGCTTCCTTCCAGATTACGACCTCTTCTTTGATTGCACCCAAGAGGGAACAAATTAGGTGATACAGCAATATATAAAATTGAAGTTAAAAGAGCGTGAATTGAATAGCATCGATCTGAGGTGCTAACAAGTGAAGCTAAATTGAAAGGGAACTAATTAAGGGCAGATGAGAGGATTGTAGATGATGCAAAGTTAAATTGAAAAGGAAGTAATTAAGGAGATGAGGATTGTAGGTGATGCATGGTGGAGAGGGGAAAAAGCTAGGGTTTGCAAGAAGTTAAAACTTACTCTCTCGGGTATCGTCGACCTTGTAAAACATGTGCCAAAAATCGTCGCCGCTGTAGATCGATCCATCGCTATGTTTGCTGCACTCGAGGATGAACGCGCGATTCACCCCGTCCTGGCTACCTGCTGCTCGCCTCCCATTCTTCTCCGCTTCCGCCTCCGCCTCCACCAGCTCAAGCTCGGACTCTGCCGCCGCTTCGCCATGAAATCCCCTCGCGATTCAACCCGGCCTCAGCCTCTCTCCCTTCGATCTCTCTCGTTAGCTTCATCTTCTCCGTCCTCCACCCTTGGGTTTTATTTTGATTTTTGCGGCAACAAATCCGAAACCGATTCATATTAGTAGTAGCTTTGAAAAAACTATTATCCTCTCAAATAGCAGTAGAAAATAGAGAGAATAGGATATGGGCTGCTTTCTGGGCCTGGATATGGGCCGTACTTCCATTTTCCGTTGAGGCCCATCTAGACCCATAAAAGATGAAGTTTCTTCCCTAACCTCCGGCCCCCGCTCCCTTTTCTTGTCTTCTCTCTTTCTGTAGTCTGTATATGTATTTTTGTGTTGATGCAAGGTAATAGTTTATTGTTTTAAGTTAAACACACAAATACGATTTTCTTATTGTTTCCCACGAAGAATTGCATATTTGTGTAGCACCATATCTAATTTGTATGAACATACAAGAATAGAAACTTGCTTTCTTACAAATAACACAGTGACGTTCTTTGACTGCTAAACTTACACAACAAATAAATAAGCTTAAATATGTGCTGAACATAGGACCAAACATTTGCCAACAAGACAATACACAGAAGCATCGTTATTTTCTGCTTAGCATAGACTATGTATCCCTTGGGCTGTTCAAAATCACTCCAAAGTTGACCAAGACAGCTTCACCAGTATATTGGTGCAACCAAGTTTGAGCTCTTGCATGTCATACTCATATCCATGTGTTCTAGCTTTGAACGCACAACATCCAGGAACATGATCTGAGCCATCTCTCTTGTCAATCTTGAAGATTAAAATCAAGGGAGTATTCACCACCACAGCAACTACAAACCTATTCAGATCACATGGCTTGGAAATGAATCCATCGAAGAGCTGAATTTTTTCAGGGATTCTACTGGTATAAGAATATAAAGATAAGCTGAAGCCATTGCCATGCACTTGTGATATGCTAACTTGTACTGTGGCCTCCACCGTACTGTGGAGAAGTGCAAGACTTATGTCCACCGCACCACAATCACCCTCAATCCGTTGCGTAAACACTCTATTGGGAAGCACGAATTCGCTGCAGATGATAGCACCATCTATGAGCTGAAAATCATCATCTCGTGTCTCTCCATTCTTGATCTTCATGTCAAACTCAATGAGCACACGAGCTTGGTTTCCAATGCCTCTCTTGGGGCCAGGCATTGGTATCAAGGAATTATCTGAATCAACACCATTGTCTTGCCCCATGATGAAAGGATCATCTCTGGTGCGGTTGAAGATGTAGTTGCGTAGCGGGTCCAAATGATCCCGTACTGCAAAGTATCCATACAAGTGAACTGGGCCATCAACAGTAGCAGTGATATTGGATAACTTGAGCGAGAATATCTGCATCATGAATTGTTCTTCGTGAATATTGCAAGCCCACATGTGTGGTCGGCAATTGGTTGGATTTGACAGCATCATTGCCTCCTTGAGAGCTGAAACGCAGTATGTAGGAGCATTTTACATCAGCGGATAAAGTTAAATTTTAAACCCAAATTGAAATAAAGGAGAAAACAAACAAATCAAGAGGACGGACAGAATATTGATACAATTAAGGTTTTAAATAGCAAACTTGGCGCTGCCATGGATCCAAACTCCCAAAGCGAGCTATACAATATCGTATAAGGTGGTTTTAATTCTATTCTAATTAAGAAAGGCCTAAATTTGACATCAAAGTAGATAGATGTGTTATGAAAAAAAAAGCTTAATTTGACATCAGTTCCATGGTATTGAGCATACACAGGAACAAATTAGGTGACACATGAATATATAGAATTGAAGTTAAAACTTAAAAAGAGCATGAACGAGTTCACAGCATGAGGTGCTACCGAGTGAAGTTAAATTGAAAGGGAACTAACTAATTAAGGAGATGAGAGGATGGTAGATGATGCATGGTGGAAAGGGGAAAAAGGTAGGGTTTGCAAGAAGTTAAAACTTACTCTCTCGGGTATCGGCGACCTTGTAAAACCTGTGCCAAAAAATCGTCGCCGCTGTAGATCGATCCATCGCTATGTTTGCTGCAGTCGAGGATCAACGCGCGATTCACCCCGTCCTGACTACCAGCTGCTCGCCTCCCATTCTTCTCCGCCTCCGCCTCCGCCTCCGCCTCGGCCTCCACCTGCTCAAGCTCGGACTCTGCCCGCCGCTTCGCCATGAAATCCCCTCGCGATTCCACCTGGCCTCAAGCTCGATCTCTCTCGTTTGCTTCATCTTCTCCCTCCTTCTCCCTTCGGTTTTATCTTGCGGCAACAAATCCGAAACCGATTCGTATTGCTACCATTAAAAAGACGAGGAAAAGAAAGAAAAAACGATTCTTATATCCTCTCAAATAAATACTAGCAGTAAAAATCGATATGGGCTGATTTTTGGGCAAATATATGGGCCGTACGGCCATCTACCGGTGAGGCCCATCTAGGCCCATAAAAGATGAGTCTTCATCCCTAACCTCCGGACGACTCCTTGATGCTGCGCCTCGCGATCGAGCGGCTCCAGCGCTAAGTAGCCTCTCCCTTGTCTCACAATCATTCCATCCCCCTTCCTGGCTACCTTGCTCGCCGGGATCAGGAGTCTGCTGATTGGGTTGGGCTGCGGACCTGCGGTGGAGGGATTCAGGGTTTCTCTTGTCCCTGATCCACTGCCTCCACGACCAACAATGGAGGACAACGTTCTTGTCTCCTCGAAAATCCATGGAAGGTGACTCCCAACTCATGCACCTTTTCCTTTATTTGCTTGTGATTTTAATACGATATGGAATCTAAACAAAGGCCCCCGCAAAAAATAAATAAATAGAGAATCTAAAGAAAGGCATCCTTACATGGCAGAATTCCATCACATTATATGCTTATATTCATTTATTTGTGTACTGTTACTACTAATAATAATGCAAAATACCCTCTGACATATGTGTTATTTTGCTAAAAAAAATAGTTTCAAGAAGTCAATTCTGTGTGCTACTTAAAACTTCTGAAAGAAGTATCATTGCATACTGGCAGAGCATGCATGATATCTTTCACCAACATTAGCCAGAGTTACTGCCCTTCTTTCTTTTTCGGCATGCATACCTGTAGGGTTGTACTGTAATCAAACTTGTTGAAAAAGAGAGAGCATCTTACAGATGTTATGCTGAGGCAGAATTCATGGTTATTTTCATCACCTTGTTAATCATGCTGATTGTTGGTTTCAGGAGTAAAAGCACAACAGCCAAAAGGAATTGTATAATTTGCGGACAACGTATTAGTAAGAGGAGAAGAACACAACATAATTTTCAGAAGATAAGTCGGGGGCAGCTTAATTTACAGAGGACAAGACCATGTCTGCTTAATTTTCAGTCTCTTCCCAAGGTATGTCATATCATGACATGAAGTCATGAAACTCTCAACTCCTTTTGTGCTAGGACTAGGAGGCTGTATTCTGATGCTTGTTCAAAATGCATTGTCAGGATATTGTACTAAGGGTAATGTCAAAATTAACATTAAAGGAAGTCGCTCAGTTGAGTGTTGTGTCAACAAACTGGAGACAGGCTTGGACATTCCATCCTAATCTGTACTTTGGTATTAAAACAGCCCTTGGAAATAATGCCAAGAGAAAAGGAACAAGCTCTGATCTGAACTGTAGAATATCAAGTGGTAACAAGTTCATTAAAAGGGTTGATGCTATTCTGGAAAAACATTGTGGAACAATGGTAAATAAGTTTGCTGTTAAGTTTGGTTTGTCAAATGAGCATGCTAACCATGTCAATGGCTGGGTTGCGTTTGCTATTGCATCAAAGGCAAGGGTTATCATTCTTGACTTCTCCCCAGATTGGAAATCACATGAAAACAAATATGACTTTCCTTGTCATATTTTCGACAAACATAATGGATCTTACCTTGAGGCTCTTCGGCTTGACAGTGTTACTTTGAATCCACCTCTAGATTTCTGCGGATTTGCAACCTTAAACTGCTTGCTCTTGACAATGTTAGGTTGCAACATTTAGAGCAGTTAATATCGAAATGCCATGTTCTAGAGTGGTTAAGCATCCAATCATGTAACCAGCTGCATAATTTACATGTGTCAGAACCATTATGCCGTCTGCAATATTTGTCAATTCAGGGTTGTCATTTACAAAGAATGGAGTTACATGCTCCGAATCTCACAACATTTGAGTACGACGGTTCCCTGGCATTGGTAACGCTCAATGAATGCTCCAATATCAAAGCATCAACCATCAGACTTTTTGATGAGAAAACCCTCCAAAATATATTAACTGGAATTCCAAGTGTATTACCTCATGTTGAAACGTTATATGTTGAAGTTCATGTCAAAACTCAGGTCTGATTATTCTTGTACTCTCTATATACATTTAATTCTATTTTATTTTCTGTTTCACATCTTGTTGTTTGAACCTATGTGTGGCCTGGTCACCCTCCAGATGTCTGGATTTACACAATCACCTCTCAAGTTCACTCAATTGAAGTGTCTAACTTTGGAAATAACTTTTGAGAGAGGTTCATTCGATAGAAATTCAGTCTTCCAGTTGACTAATCTTTTCGTAGCAGCTCCATTTTTGGAGGATCTTTATTTGGATGTAAGTAGCTATATCATTTGTACTTCACTACTTTTATTGCCTTCTTCCCTAGCCAGTTACAGTTCGCCTTTTGTATTCTCATTGACCGATTACCTCTTTTTTCCTATTTAATGTTATTTCGTTGGTTTGGAAACCCAATCAGAATAACCTGCTAAGCCAGTACTGTCAATCTAATTAGGAATTACCTGCTTGTCCAATGTGCCCTATGCATGATTCATGAACTCATAAGTCCCAGAAACTGGAACATTCGCTGCAGACTATTGATCCTTTTTAACGATCATCAGACCATCGAACATAGCTTTGGCAAAGTAATATTGTTCGGCCCGGCGAAAGTAGTATTGTTCAGCATTAGTTGGCAACTGCATTTTTTTCCATTTGACAGTGGACTTTGTAAATTTTAATCATAATTATTTGGGACATCTGTAGAAGCTTTTGCTATATCGATGTCACTGTTTACCCTGAGCATCACATCACCATATTTATGCACTGTACAAGATACCAAATAGTATGAATCAAGGTGATAATATGTTTGGAAACCGATTAGCCATGTGTTTCCTTGATTGAATATATTTGTATCCAAACAGAGCAAAAGCTTCTTTTTTTCTAACAAAATCTCAGAATTCCATCCCCTGCATTTGTTTTGACAAGATATATGTTCAGGCTATCCTTCTCTTCCTCGATCATGAATCTTTGATCTTCTTTTCCCTAATTATTACGTGTTAGCTTGCTCCTTGTTAGTGATGCCATAATTTCTTGCAGATGTATTGTAGCTTGAACAGGTGCCCTTTGGATTTGGATGACATCGTGGATCAGCCTCACTATCATCTCAAGATGGTGTGCATATTTGGATTTTGTGGCAACACAGGCCAGGTTGAGCTAGCAAAATGCATTCTCAGAAATGCGTTAATATTGGAGCAAATGATCATCGACCCAAAAGGGAGATATCGGTTGGATGGATATTTTGGGCGCCAGGAGGCAGATGAGAAGCTTGTTCCAGAAGATATAGATGGTGTACTCACAATTCTGTAACTTATACTCCGTACAGTAGCAAACTACAGTCACAAGTTGAAGTGTTGTTCCTTCAAGGCACTAGTAACTAGGAGTAAGTTTTTTTTAACAGAGTTTACAGAGATTATTCGGTACTGCAAGAGTTGTGGTTCACTGTTCAATACGATTATATTAGTATGTATCCCTTCCGATTAAAAATGTTTGACATTTAGGACCATATTTAGTTGCATTTTTAAAAATCTAGACATCAATAATTTGTCAAATGCTTAGTTTTCAAAATGATATACGTAGATTTGTCTCATAATATTATAAACTTATTGGATTATATAAACTTATTCTGGTGTAAAATAGATTGCCAAAATTTTTAAAGTGTGGCCGAAGTTTGTGCTAAACATTAAACTACTTGAGAAAGTATGCACTATTCATATGTTACAATGAGTTTTAATCTCCAACCCATGGACCTTTTTTTTTTAAGCTTCAATTCAAAGGATGCCAAAGGGGTGGGAGTTTTAATCTCCGTCCCCCAAGGGACTATTTTTTCTTTCCCCAAGATCGAGCTTTTTTTTAATGTAGTTTTGTGCAAACACATTTGGATAGTTTTGAACTACTAGTATATCACATAGTAGGAAATAATTGATTACTATGGAAGTATTCTTCACAGACAAAAAGCTTCAGTTTTCACACACATGTACACACACATGGATTGTTTAGACTAGCAATGCATATAAGAAAAATAATTACTTCCTCGAATATGCGGATATCTTAAGTTGGATATAGTAGAATACTAGAATAGATAAACATCTCATCTTACGCAGATAAGTGCTTCTGGCAGAGAAGTGCAAGATAACAACCACATTCAGACAGGATCATATAAAAATTAGAGTAAAGTCCATCACCGGTCCCTAAATTTATACCGTTTTGTCATCCCGGTCCCTAAACTCGTAAATCGACCATTCAGGTCCTCAAACTTGTTCGACTGTGTCATCCTAGTCCCTAAACTTGCAGATTACTCGTTTAGGTCCTCCAACTTGTTCAGTTGTGTCACCCCGGTCTCTAAACAGGACGGTCTAAAAACTTTATATCAAAAAATAATTCATAACTTTTTCATGTGAACTCTAATGAAGACAAACTTTATATCAAAATTGTAGCTCTGGATGCGACCTACAACTTTGTAGTTGAAAAGTTTTTGAATTAAAACTGTTGGTCCCAAAATATTGTTGCATGTTTATAGATTTTGAAATTTTAATTTTAAAATTACATTTTGGGACAAAAAATGACTTAAAATAAAAAAAAATTCAACTATAAAGTTGTAGATCGCGTCGAGGGCTATAAGTTTGATATAAAGTTTGTCTTCATTAGAATTCACATGAAAAAGTTATGAATTATTTTTAAATATAAAGTCTTTAGACCGTCCTATTTGACCCAGATGATATTTAAATCCAAGTTTAGGGACTAGGGTGACATAACTGAACAAATTGGAGGACCTAAACGAGTGACCTGTAAGTTTAGGGATCGGGATGACACAGTCGAACAAGTTTGAGGACTTGAACGGTCGATTTGCGAGTTTAGGGACCGGGATGACACAACGGTAAAGTTTAGAGACCGGTGATGGACTTTACTCAATAATTAGGTACAGTATGAGGCACCTTGAGAAAAATCAGTGCTAGAATGGAACGTTCTCTTTCAGATGATTACAACCTACGGAGTAGCTTGTACCTAATTCCGTAGTAAACCCCCATAATATTTGACTCTTTCATTCACATTCATCATCGAACCCACGCTAGCCATTTCCTTGATCAAATTATCACACCTACTCCTGCAGGACATAGTAAATAAAGTAGCACGTTGTCTTAAAATAATACTACTCCACCTTTTAATCTCATAAATGAATAAACGGAGAAATAGAAAAAAAATCAGGATTCTGATAGAAATGCAAGTGCAAAGCAGGTGATTGAAAACACAGAAAAAGCATATAAATAACCGTTTATTGGACCGCTGGAAAAATACAGAAATTGAATAAGAGAGATAGACTTAAAGGAAAATTTTCAAGAGATTATTCATTTCATAGGAATTTCAAAGGATATGATAGGATATGATTTAATCTTTTGTTTCAAAAGCATTCATAGGAAAATTTTCTATATGGTTGAAATCCTCCAAAGTTCTTATGTTTTTCATCCAAATCAAAAGGACCCTAAGCATTTTTAGTATTTAAAATTTGTAACACAATATACTTTCTTTATTTTAGAATATAAGTATTTCTACTATTTAAATTTCATATACAATATAAGCATTTCCAGGTACTACTTCAGAATTCAGATACACCGAAAGCTAAGTATTTTCAGTCACTTAGGTGATTAGGAAGGGGGCTAAGCAATTCACAAAATCAACCAATGAGACAACTGAGAGGGAATATTTATCCTTTAGCTTACTATTTACTAAATAAACTAAAAATATGTGTCCTTTGCAGTAAGTTTAATAATACTACTACCTTCAATAATTGAAACATCATCTACCAACTCATATTACATCAACAATACCTAATCCATCCATCTCCCCTCACATAGTCTATTGAAAGCCAGTCCTGTGGTTGGCTACAAATCTAGTCCGCTTTTCTTTTCTCTTCTCTCCTCTCTTCTTCACATAAGTACAAATTTAATGTGCCAACTTTTACATCCCGCTTTCGTCACTCTGTCCAATGCATAAAAATTCATGCATTTTCAACCAATCAAATGCTTGGGAGGATAATCTAAATAATTTAATATTTTACCACTACTTTAATGGAAAGGAAATCTTCTTACTTAACCTTTGTAAGATTTGCTAAACAACCTAAAAATACTCATATTTTAGGACGTAGGGAGTACTATTCTCTCTTTTTTTTAATGTATGATGTCGTTGATTTTTGACATGATGTTTGACCATTCTTATTATTAAAAAAATTATGTAAATGTCATTTATTTTGTTATGATTTTTTTGTCACCAAAGAAATCTTAACTTATACTTTTACATATTTACATTAAAACTTTTAATATAGTCAAACGTTATACGAAAAATCAATGGTGGCATACATAAAAAAAATAGCACTAACTATCAATAGAAAAAAAGATAGTGAAATTATTTAATAGTACCAGAGTATGAACAGGATATCGTGAGATTTATCTTTAAAAGAAAAAAAAAGAATACCGTCAGATGACCTTTTCCGCGTGTTGTGTCTGTTTGTTGAAGATGAATTCTAATAGCTCAAGTGGACGTCCACCCGTTTATTGCATGTCAACTAGATGGTTACGAAAAATTTTCAAAAAAATTGACAACATAGATCAATATGTAATATATCACTCCACAAACATGCAAGTTCAAATTCAACTTCTATAAGTAGTAACGAAAATAACAAACAAAACTCAAATTACTATATGTATATTTATAATTAAATTTGTTATTTTTGTTACAACTTGTAAAAGTTGAATTTGAATTTGCATGTTTGTGGAGTGATATATTACATATTGATCTATCTTGTCAATTTTTTTAAAAATTTTTCGTAACCATCTAGATGACATGCAATAAATGGTTGGACGTCCACTCGAGCTGTTAAAACAGTTTTCCTCTGTTTGTTCTCTTCTCACGCGTTCTACGCTACGCGGGAGGCATATAAATCCGGCAAGCAAGCGACCACTCCCACGCCACGCGCCGCTCTCACTCGGTCACTCTCACTCTTCATTTCGTCGAACACCTTTGCCTCACAACCACCCCCCATGGCCGACCGCGTCCACCCCATGCCCGCTCCACCGCCGCCGTCCTCCTCCCCTCCGCTGGAACACGCCGCCGCCGCCACGGAGACCACGCCGCTGCACCCCAGCTTCCGCGGCGCGCGGCCGCCGTCGCCGGGCACGTACATCATCCAAATCCCCAAGGACCAGGTCCTCCGCGTCCCGCCGCCAGACCGCGCGCGCCGCTACAAGAAGCTCGCGGCGAGGCCCGCACGCCGCCGCCGGCTCCGCCACGCGTGCTGCGCCGCCTTCTGCGCGGCCCTCCTCCTGCTCCTCCTCGCCGCCGCCTTCGTCGGCGCCGTCTACCTCGTCTTCCGCCCCCGCGCGCCGTCCTTCTCCGTCGCCTCCCTCTCCATCCGCGGACTCGACGCCCTCGCCGTGTCATCGTTGACTCCGCAGATCGACGCCGCCGTGCGCGCGGACAACGGCGCCAACAAGAAGACCGGCATCGACTACCGCGGCGGCGGGGAGGTGACCGTCTCCTACGCCGGCGAGCGGCTCGCCGCCGGGCCGTGGCCCGCGTTCCACCAGGCGCCGAGGAACGTGACGGTGTTCTCGACGGCGTTGGCCGGAGGAGGCGTGAGCTTCCCGGAGGAGCAGAGGAAGCGGCTCGCCGCGGAGCAGGCCGCCGGCGCGGTGCCCCTGACGGTGGAGGCGATCGTGCCGGTGAGGTTGAGGTTCGGGAAGGTTCTCCGGACGTGGACGGTGGACGTGAAGACGAGGTGCGAGGTGACGGTGAACAAGCTGGCGGCGGCGGCGCCGCCGGCGAACAGGGGGTGCAGGGTCAAGGTCCGGCCGCTCTGGTGGTGGTGGTGATCGCCGGCGGCGGCGGCGCCGCCGCCGCTGATGGTTGGATGGGTAGTACATTAACGGCTACAGCCTAGTATAGCTAGTAACAGCTGTGCATTGAACAGAGAGATATTACATTACTTATTATACCTGTGAATTGAATTAATTTCATAATTAGTGTCCAATTTTGTGGTGCATTTCGAGCTGTTGGTGAGGAGATTAATGGATTACCACCAGTGTAGCATTTTGCATGTTGCAGATGTAATTGGTGAAATACTGATGGTTTTCTCTGTTTTCTGTTTGTTCAAATGGAGAATGAATTAATCGGATATTTACTCAGTTTCAGATGTAACTGATGAAGTTTTGGTTACAGATAAGTGTCTGTTATTGTACAAAATAAGCGTAAATTTGATCATATCTTTGATCTTGCTCTACCAAAATGGCTCCTCCCCTGCACTAACATTCTAACAATGTACTGTATAGTAAGTTTCAGTTGCTGTTGGTCGGTGACCTTGCCTGTAGTTAATAGTAGTAAGTCAGTCAACTCGTGTGCTTGTGCTGCTAGCTTTCGTTTTAACTTTTAACTGGTGTGCTATCAACTATTCAACTTGCCTAGTCGTCCGTGTACCTTCGCTTTCTTCATTTGTCCATTAATTGACGCTGTGCAATTTGCTGACGACAAAAACGAAATCGTCCAACGAGGTTGCTGAGAGTTTTCTGCCCCCGTCTCTTTTATAATTTATTCACCAAACGTTAGCAGCAGTCTGAAACCTTGCATGTTTGATTGTCCTACTCCAAGGTTATGTTTTAGCTGTTGTCATTCATCTCTTTTCAAAAATTATCTCCGTGGTAGATACAATATTTTATAGGAAATAAATCGTATCATTGAACGCTTTCTGAAGATCGCTGGCCATGTATTAGTAGCATAATACTAATATGATATTGAGCTGTCGTCAAGACCTAGTTTAGTTAATTATGACAATAGGATTAATTAGGATGCAAAGTATAGTGGCGGAGCGGCTGTCCATAACCGTGTGCTGGGTAAGCAGGAGAGAGAATGAAACTTAGGGAAATGTAGGTCTGCATAGCTGTAGCTTTGTGCTTTAGGATATACTAGGCTCTTGGATGTTTCTTCCTTTTCTCTTCTATCTAATTAAACGGTATGATCTTACTCAAACCGCAAGAAATATACTCCGTACGATTCAAATTACTTACAGTTTTAGTTTTATCCTAAATTATACATTTGTATCTTTGACCATCAATTTCTTAAAATTCGGACAGTTTTAACAACACGTGGATGCTATAATATGAAAATACTTCTCATGTTGATTCTAAGATGCTAAAATACATGAAGTTTTAAGAATTAATAGTCAAAGATACAAATATTTAACTTATGATATAAGTTAAAACTATAAATAATTTAAACGGAGTATATACTAGTTTAGCAAAGTACTCTATCCGTCCCATAAAAAACGAATCTAAAACCAGATATGATATATTCTAGATATGTCCAAATTCATAGTCATAGGATGTGTCATATCCGGTATTAGCGGTATTAGGTTGGTTTTTTATAGGACAGAGTGAGTATGTATCTTAGTTCTTAAGGCTCAGTTCATCTGGGGCCATCAATAAAATCAAGAGTTGAACGTTTCAATAACTAATAGCAGCGCATACGTGTTTTCACCAATTGTCGCCATGGTTGCTTTCGCCTGAACTCAGTCATCCCCTGATTTTGTCTAGACGGCGACAGCCCAACTTCAGTTTGTTTGTGCAACTAGCTGTGTGCATGTCAACATACTAGGAATTTCCAGCGGGGTGGTTAGCAATATAGTAATACGGCAAACCTGCAGGACCTGAATGATGCATGCAAGAAACACACATCTAGTAAAATAATAGCAGCCAACTTTTTTTTCTATTTTTCTTTCTTTTCTCCGAGTTGGACCGTACCTCATGCAAGCTGCCTACTCCCTCCGTCCAAACAAAAAAAGGCAATCTAGTGCTAAGAATATCCAGATTCGTTGTACTAGGATATATCACATATTATAGTACGAGGTTGAGTTTTTTTGGGACGAAAGGAGTATGTTTTAGTATAGAGTACGATAGCTGCATCAGCAAGTAGAATACGCCCTCAAAAAGAGAAAAATGAAAAGAACAAGTAGAATACGTCAAGCAAGTAGTCCAGGACTCAACAAGCTGTTCTCCATAGCTAAGTCAGCTGGGTGAGGATCATCTTCATCTTCACATTCACATAAACAAAAATACTTCTGACTTGGCTGCCCTTGTTCAGGATATTCTCAACCCTGAAACCAACCTCACTCTGTTTTTTCTCTATTTTTGGGTTTTTCCTCCTGACTCCTAGGCAACCTTCCATTCACTGTTTATACAAGTCAGCAACCACACAATGCTGGCTGTGCTGGGACCTGGGAGCTTTAAATTGTCCCTTTTAGGAAGAGACACAAAGAAATAAGCAACATAGAGGGGAAAAAAACAGCATGCATGAAACTAGCATCAACAAGCAAGAGAGCCATTCAAACAATTAACTGTGCTGCCACAAGCAGGCTTGCTTTGCCAAATGAAAGCATTAGGCTTCTAATACGTTCTAAGAGTTAGTAACAAGAGCATCCGAAAGCTATATATATTCCTCTCCAACTAGAAGTTGCAACTTTGCCTGCCACTTCAAAAGGATTACCTACTGGCTACTGCTACTGTATGTACATGACAAAAGGAACCTGGAGATCTCACTAGCAAGCACAGATCAATCTCATCAGTTCTTTCTTCTCTTAGATGCCCTGGTTGACTGCGAAGGTCCTGCTGCAGATGGCACCTCTTGAGCAGCCTCAACTGCTTCAGCTTTAGAGCTTCTCAAAGCCCTCCTTGTCATCCTCGCTGATGGGCCTGCTCTTTCATTTTCTTCCACCAGTTCAGATTTGACACCTCTGCGTCTAGTCCTCGAATGCTGGTTGGCTGATGGGACCTGATCTTCCTCAGGTTCGTTAACATCCTCATCCTCAGCACCGTCATCTTCACCCTCCAACCGAGGCCATTCAGTACCACAACCACAAGCTCTCGAGGCCTACAGACACAAACAAATTTAGAAAGCCACTCCTGTTCATATGTGTAAAGTGGAATTAAAAATAGGTGACTACCTTTCTCTGCGAAAATTTCTTCTTCAAACAGTACCCATGAATCCTTACATTGCATTCCTCATTAGGACAACATGATGCCTGTTTTAAATATAAGTAATAAAAATACATGGAATGACATTAGTGAAGTATATGACCATGGGTACAAGATAAATGCAAATGTAGAATCGTAATTCATAATGACATATCTGCACCTTTATACAAGCTTCATTGCAGACCTCACATGATGGGATATCATTACTACGTAACCAACTTCGGAGATCAAGAAATGATCTTATGCCAAGACCAATCTTTCCTGTGGGAGTGTATGACAGCCAACGATCCTGTATGAGTTCATTAAGAGTTTTCTCCTTTTGGGACAATGAGAAGTTGGTAATGGAAGTAGGCAGACGGGATTGACTGCCCTGTGAAGCGTCTGCAATTACAACCTGGGAGCAGAACACCAAATAATTCTTTCATTTGTCACACTACCATAAAAGTTTGCAACAATAAAAATATAAAACATTTGCTTAAACAGAAACAAAAGCTCTCATAGTGATTGGGTATTAATACGAGATACCTGGTTCTCAATCCGTGTGTTAAGAGCATCGATATTTGTTATGCTCCCATCATTTCCAGCTTCATGAACTATTGCTTCCAACTGCCCATACAATTACATGAATATAGCGAATACTAGATTGAGCTGGATTTTTTAAAAAAAAGTGCAAATTGATTGCATACCAATCCCTTGTAGAATGCAATCTGTGGCACAGAAAACTTTGATCCAAGCTTTGACTCTTCATCAGCAATGTTATTGACCACTCCATAATACACAGTACCATCATACTGGTTTATGCCTGCTCTTAACTCAAACTGCAAGTACGTGAGCTCCTTGTTGATCTTGAGGAGTGTATCATCGAACAGCTGCCGATGAGTGGCTGCAAGCAGTGATACGGAACATGAGTGATCGCAAACCATTTTGTTAGACTCAATTATGGGAATATTCACACCCCTTAGGCCGGAAATTATATAACATCACGCATAGTATTTTTATGATTTGTCAGCAATCTTAGGTAATAAAACCAGGCGTCAATGGTGAACTGAAGCAGAAATTATCTGAAACTGAGAGAAGGTTGGGACCAACTAAGATTGTTTCCATTGAGATGATAGTAATTCCTAGAGGGGCATTACGTCGAACACCTGTGCTACGAGTAATGAAATCAATGACTGGGAGCTACATCAGGAGAAAGATAAGAGTAGCAAGCGGAGCAGGCAGAAGCATATACCGGGGTTCTTGCCGCCGGAGATGGCGGAGAAGAGGGCGTGGAAGTCGCGCTCCGAGAGGGGCCCGCGGGAGAGCAGCGCCTGCAGCAGCGTGTGGTGGCGCCACGAGAGCGGCGCCATCGCTCGACTTGCCCCTGCCGCAGGATCGAGCTCGCTAGTAATCTGGAAGAGAGGGACGGAATGGGAGGGAGATGAAGGAATGAAGGAAGGAACCCTAGCAAGAGCAGAAGGAAGTTTGGGGATGAAATGGAATTGACGAGGGCATTGAGCGAGGTGAGGTGGGGGAAAATGTGTTGGCGATTGGCGGGAAGAGGCGCGAGGAGACGCGGGAAGAGAAGAAGAGATTGGCAGCGCAGCGGGCCAGCGGAGCAGGACGGCAGAACAGGACAGGTTGGCGTGTGCGGGCCGAATACAAGGCCCATGTGATCGAGCCCACCCATTGCCGTTGGTGAGAATTGAGCCCGACCCAATCCTACCCGCCCAAGTATTTCAAGTGTAGCCGATGCATGGTTTAAGCCGAACGGGAAAGGACAAAAGTTTATTCGAGGCGCCTCATGTTGTTGTTGAGTTTCAAAATCGATTTTTGAACCGTAAAAGGGGATACAACGCATTTCTAACTTTCAAAACCAGTACAAACAAGATTCCTTCCTTTATGTATTGTCCCTGATTTTATCTGACGTGGAGGCCGCCAGCCCCATCTCTCTCCCCGTTAGCCGCCCTTCTCTCCACTGCCCGTGTTCGGCCAACATCGGTCTGTAGATCATAGATGGAAGAAAGAGGGAAGTAATAAGGGTTGGTTGTTGATATGTGGGTCCTATTATTATTTTTATTTTCTGATATGTGGCCCCTTGATTTTTATTTTTTTTCCTGGATCAAATTATCATGTAAGCGTCATGTCAATATCACACGTCGAATAAATACCTAATCAAAGAAGCCACGCAAACGTCACATAAACCAAAAGCAGTAACATTATTGTCAAGTGACCTCGTTTGTATTGGGTTTAAAAGTTAAGAGATGTGTTGTATCTGATTTTACGGTTGATTCGACGAGGGAAAATTTTTCTAACAGGAAACGATGAGAAAACCAGGTCAGTCTAGGCCAGGCAGACCGGCTGACGGCTGTTGCTTCTTGGCCTCTTGGGCCTGTGGTTACTGGTTAGATATTTTTGCAGCCAGTTGGTGCGTGTTTGACACTTTGACCCACTGCATTGTCCATTGGTTGGTTCTGCATGCACGAGTGAGTGTCTCAACCTCTGCTTGAGTCCACACGTCCTCCACGTCACACGCTCGCGATTCGACTCCCATTTCGTGGCAGGACAGAGACAAAGCAGAGCTAGCGATCTCTGCAGCTTTCTTGTTCCTAATTCGATTCCCATGGCGCACTCCCACTCTGCGGCTTCGCTGCACGCCGCCCGGCTACTACCGCAGCAGCGCACGCCCACCGCGCCACGGACACTGTTGCCGGCGGGCGGTGGCCTCTTGCTCCGCCGCCCCCACCCACCGCTCCACCAGCAGCGCCGCAGCCGCTCCTCCTCTCGTCCTGACCTCCGCTGCCGCCGCCGCCTCCTCACCGCGCGGGGTGACTACGACTTCTACGAGAACTATGCCGATGAAGAAGGAGATGAGGAGGAGGAGTCGGAAGTCATAGGTGGGAGCTTCGACGCGGCGGTGGCGCTGTTCAACGGCGGCGAGTTCCACGCGTGCCACGACGTGGTGGAGGAGCTCTGGTACACCGCCGAGGAGCCCACCCGGACGCTGCTCCACGCCATCCTCCAGTGCGCCGTCGCCTTCCACCACCTCTTCAACCAAGTATATATTTTCATCGTCTCATTTCCACATTTGACTATGCATAGTAAATTAGTAATTACTCCAGTAAAATTTGTGATTAGACATGATCGTGCACAAACACAGAACCACCGTGGCGCCATGATGGAGCTCGGGGAAGGCCTCTGCAAGCTCCGCAAGCTGCGTCTCGACGACGACACCACGAGCCCATTCTCTCGGTTCCAGGAGGAGGTCGCCGCGGCGCTCAACTTCATCTACCGCACACAGAAGGAGCTCGCGGCGTGCACCGACGATCTCTGCCTCACCATGGATGGCTCCGCGACCTCCTACCAGCTGCTTGGCAACTTCGCCGCTGGCCAGAAGCTCTACCGGCTTGAAACAACAACCAGTGCAGATGGAGATGGCGTTCCAACTATAATCTTCTCTGCTTCTTCACGACTCGTCAGGGTGAAGCTCCCCACATTGAGCGCCACGGAGCATCATCTAGCAGCGCTTCAATGTACAAGCGAGTATATTTAGTTTCTTTTTTTTTCCCTGATAAAATGTTTAGCTCTTCCGATCCGTTTGAACCAAATTGTAGTTTTCTGTACTTGGGAAACGAGGAATGGAGTCAAATGGATTATAGTACCATTGGTTTCCTTTTCTTTCCCTTCAATTTTTCTCTGCACATACTCTTATTATACGATGATGCTAATTTTAGCATAACGGGTGACCATGCATCTTAAAAAAATAGTAGAACTATGTTATATTTAAAGTACCTCAAATGATAAAATGAGTAGATTTCATAAAACCTGAGGTCTTAGGCTATCTAACACAAAATCCTAAAATTTACAATTTATGTTCATGCCCACCATGTTTTAGGGTAAAATGTTCCATACGATTCTAGCTACAAGTATTTCGTCCATTTGATTATAATAGTTGTAAAAAATGTATGAGATATTTTTTCTATATGCACATGTTAATTATGTGCTTTTCAACGAGCCATCATCATGGTTTTATTGAGTGAATTTCACTTTGGTCCCCCTGCTATCGAAGTTTCACTTTGGAGCATTTTTATCTGATTTTTTTTTCACTTTGGATCATCTATTTTTGTTTTCTTACATTTTGGACCATCCAAACTCTCTTTGCGGCACATCAACAATCTCAAGAACATTGGCACCCTCATGAGGACGATCTCTCCTATTTACATTCAAGTTACATCGTTACCGAGGGAGAGATTGGATGTGATTATACATAAGCATTAGGGCTAAAGTGTAGCCTAATATGTTGCTAAAATATATTCTCCCCGTCCTAGCATATAAGAGATTTTAATTGGACGTGACACATTCTAGAACTACGAATCTTAGTTCTGATTCGTAGTATTAGGATCCAACCCAAATACCTTACATTTTGGAACAGAGGGATGTAGTGAGTATTATTTGGAAAAAAATAAATGAACGAGCCTTATCATAACATTAAATATGTAAGGGTATCACCAAAAGCGATATGTATAATTCAAGTGATAAATGCTATGGCTATATTCAATATAGCCCGCATTGTACGCTAAACAAATAACACGCTTTAACGTATGTATATTAATAGAAAAAATGTATAGCATATTTGTATACGAGTTTTCAAATCTCACAAGAATAAAACCAATAGTATTATCTATTTAATTCATTTTTATAGCTATCTTTGATAAAATTATAATCCAATAACATTATCCTCAGTTTCTTTTTTCACCCTCTCATGTTCTGATGTGAAAAACCCTCTGCCCTCTTGAACCCAAGAGGCTTGCAGCGAACACACGCAGCACGGAAAGGGGAAAAAAAAAGAAAACCAAACCCTCTCGTCTCGTCCTCCCCCGCCCGCCCCGGCCTCGCCGCCCCCTTCCCTCGCTCACCGGCGGCGAATTCAAGCTGACGAGCTCGCCACCGGGGTACACGCCACTCTCCCTCCCAAAACCTCCGCAAGCTTCAATCTCTCACTTCCAAATTCCTGATTTTCTCGCTTTTTTTGGGGGATTTTTTCTGCGCCAGGATTGGTTCGATCTTGGCCGGCCAAGAAGCACAAGTTTCTTCGGGGGATTAGCTTGTTCGCGAGGGGGAGGAGTTCGGTGGTGGAGCCTTCGCCTTCGTGATGGCGGACACCAAGGCGGACGCCAAGGCGGAGGCAAAGGCGGAAACTATCGGCGGCGGCGGCTCTGGCTCGTTCAGCGAGCAAGCGTTTGTTGAGAAGCTTAACAAGCTCAACAACACGGCGACTAGGATCCAGAGTATCCTTTCTTCCGGTTGTTTATTTCTTTTGCGCTTGCAAATTTGGTAGCGCTCGTACTTTATCTGTCTAGTGGTTTTAATTGATTTACTGTTCCAGATGAATAGAACCCTAAATTGCAATGTGGATCAGTACAACTGACATAGGATATCTCCTTGGCGTTCCATACGTTGGTTCTTGCGCTATTTGTTTGGTTAATATTCACCTTCTTATGTTCCTAACAGTGCTTATTGCTGTTAGACAGCATCTCGTGCGTTATTTACTGATGCATACGGATATAACTTAGTGTGGCAATTGTTTCTGTAGCTTCTGGATCATTTTTTTGGGCATATTTTGATATACTGTTTTGAATTATAGCTGTATAAGTGTATATAGATGAGCATGGCTACAAAATTTAGATTTCTTATCAGCATTATGGTGTATCAGCAATCAAAGTTGGTATAATAATTTCTGTTTGATGCATTCTTACTGTATACATGCTTTCCATTATTTTTGTTTCTTGGGGAAATCTTTTTTTCTTGTCTTTTGAGGATGATTATCTTTACAAAAATGAAAAATAATGGCATGAACTGTTAGGTATTATTTTAATAGTATCCTTCTGTTTGATATGCAACGATTTTTTGTTTGTTGAGAAATACTATGTTTTTCAATGCCTTTTGAGGATGACTGTATCTAGAAACCGAAAAATGATGATAAGGAGCGTTCGGGCTTTGTGTTACATTTTACTAGTATTTTCTAGGTTGTCTACTTAGTACTTATATATGTTTCCTGTACATTAGAATGGAATATTTTACCTGTTCAATTTGCAAATTAATAACCAGAACTGATCATATTGCCACATACTTTGGTTCCTTTTGGTTGGTGCTATTAGGGTAGTGGTATGCTAGTGCTATTAGGGTAGTACTACTTTGGTTGCTTATATTATCTGTCTGGTAGTTTTGATTGATTTACTATTCAAGTTGAATAGAACCCTAAATTGCAATGTGAATTAGTACAACTGACCCAGCATATCTCCTTGGCATTCCATATATTGCCTTTTGCACTGTTTGTTTGGTTACTGTTCACCTTCTTCTGTTCCTAACTGTGCTTATTGCTGTTAGAGTTAGATTGCATCTCATGTTTTACTTATCAATACTTATTGATGTGTACGATGATACACATATAACTTGGTGTGGCCATTTTTTCTCTAGCTTCTGGATCATTCTTTTGGGCATATTTTCATATATTATTTTCAATTATAGCTGTATATAAATTAGCCTAGCTAAAATATTTGTAGTTTCTTATCAGCGTTATGGTGTATTGTGCTATTGGCAATCAAATTTATATTACAATTTTGGTTTGATGTGTTCTTACTGTCAATACATGCTTTCCTTTTGTTTTTGTTTCTTGGGAAAATAAGTTTTCACTGTCTTTTGAGGATGATTATCTTTTGAAAAATGACAAATAATGGCATGATTTGTTAAGCTGTTGTGTTACATCTAGTAGTATCTTCTATTCTTCTGTTTGACGTGTAATAATTTTTTGTTTGTTGTGAAAAATTAAGTTTTTCTATGTCTGTTGAGGATGATTATATTTTGAAATTGACTAATAATAATAATAAGGAGCGTTAGGTTTGTATCACATTGTAGTAGTGTTTTCTTGTACATTCGAATATAACTGTTTTCCTGTTCAATATACAAATTAATGGGTAGAATCAGTCATATATCACATAGTTTGTTTCCTTTTGGTTGCTGCTATCAGGGTACTGATATGCTAGTTCAACTTTTTTTTTTTATCTCTTGATGGCTGAGCACAATCTTTGTGGAATTGCTTTTTACGATGTTCGAAATACAGTGTGACAATATTTGGTTGCACTAATGTTGTACGCCCTTCGTCCCAAAATATAACAATATCTAGCCTTCAGAATTTGTTGCAAATATAATAACTTCTTCACTAACATTCTCTTTCCAACCAATCACAATCCTCCATTTCTCATCCAATCACAACCTTCCTCCATTTAATTCTACCTATTTTCTTAATAACCGTGTATAACCCTAAAATTTCTTATATTTCTACCAAACAGGCCCGTAGTATTGGCAAATGAATAAACAACCTTTTCTATTATTTTATGGCCATTTATCTTCATTTCTAAGTCAGTTAATCAGTTAGGTCAGAACTAATATACTTTCATCAATTTAACAAATAACAAATTCCCTACGGTTGTAAAAAAAAAACAAATTGCAATTTTTTGGCCTTTGAACAAGGATAAATATAGCATTTATCCACCTGCATCCATATATTCATGCTACTAAGGGGGTGGGGGGATTATGTGATGGTTATGTCATGTCCTTTTGCTTACATATTAGCAACTCGAAGCCCTATGTAAAATCTTCTGAACAAGTTTTACCACTTGCTTTCCTGTGTTTAATGCCAATGCCATAAAAATCATTTACACAGTCATGATACCAAATTCCCACAGCATATTTTTAACAATAGCATCTAGAATACAGTAGCTTGCCTTTTTTATTCCTTAATTCTTAAGCAGCACTTTCAAATTGGTGCATTTTTCACCGAAAGAGAGCCAGAAAGGTTGTTGATACATGGGAGAAGCAGTATAACAGTGCAAATAAGGATAAGAAAGTATCATTCCTGTACCTGTCAAATGATATCCTGCAAAATAGTAAACGCAAGGGAGGGGAGTTTGTGAATGAATTCTGGAGGGTTCTTCCTGGATTATTGAAAGACTTTTATGTCAATGGGGGAGAAGATGGAAAGAAAGTAGTCGGAAGATTAGTAAGTTATTCTTAATTCCGTTACATGTTTAATGGCAGGAAAAGTCTATTTACTTCATTTTTTTCTATCACAAGGCCAAAACCCGAAAAGTAAAAAAATATATTTATTTTTAAAATTACAGATAGATATTTGGGATGAACGGAAGGTCTTTGGAACCCGTATTGAAAGTCTGAAAGATGACATTCTTGGTGGTAGCACTCATACAATGGGTAACAATGGCAATAGCTCAAATCCAAGCTCTCACCCCTCTTCAGTTTCCAAAGCTGTGCGAAAAGATTCTGGTACAGTAACAAAAGTAAGTTGCCAGATCTTGACCTGCTAAAGAAATATTTTCTTGTGCTGAGGATGGATGCAGTATATTGTCATGAATGTGAGCTATTTTTGTTGTTTTTTCTTTTGATGTAGAAACTTACTATTGGCGGGATGCCAGAAAAGATTGTAACAGCATATCAGTCTGTGCTTGATCAACATTTTGACGAAGACACAGCTTTAAACAAATGCAATAATGCTGTTAGTGTTTTGGAAAGGATGGATAAAGATGTAGATGATGCTTGTACCCAAGGTAAAGGATTTTCTCTCTTCAATAGGTCTGTTATGTTGTAGATATGTACCGTTGAAAAATT